CTACAACAGACGGTCGAAGGGTCATTCGGTAGAGAAGGGAGACAGAGTTCTACTTGCTAACAAGGGAGAGAGGGGCAAGAAGAAACTGGCTGATCGCTGGGACAGTGCGGTGTACATTGTTGTTGCGAAGAACAGCTCACTGAACACATATCGTATACAACACCCTACCACTGGACGCATAAAAACTGTGCATAGGAACCTGATTATGCCAGTCAACTTTCTGCCTTTGCCTTCTTGGGAGGAACCTGAGGGTCATGGATCTCTATCGAGTGGTGACGTGATCTCTGAGATGTCTGCAGCGTCCAGCAAAACGGATGGGAGTGACGCAAGGACTGTCCAATGGGTAGCAAGCCTTCCTGAGTCTTCTGGGAGGATACTCCAAGAGGATGGTGAAGTCCCAGCTGATGGAAGTGAAGTGGAACAACCGTATGAAGTCCCCTTGAGTGAGGTGTGCTCAGCAGAAGTGGACCAGAGAGAGATTCCCAAAGCCTACAAGAGTTCTGATAGCGAAACTCCATTCAGTGGGGATGGTGCTGCGACAGATGTTGTTAACTTGGTTGAAGATGCTTCGTCTGTGTGGTCTGTGACAATCTACCAGGATTCGGATCAGTCGTCTGACACTACTAGTGTTGAGTCTGTAACTGAAAGTGTGCTGGCTCCGGATATGCCGATCTGTAGTACTCCCCAACCTGAGGTTAGACCTCTGAGCACGGTTAGTGCTGTCCGTGACATTCCTGCTAGGTTTTTGGGTGAGGGTGTTCGGACTAGACTAGGTAGATTTATTAAGCCAGTGAATAGGCTAATCCAAACTATTTCTACACAGGAAATGAAACAGTTCTTGGTTTCTCAGTGACGGTAGGATATTGCCTACCTTTTCTTTATTTTTTGTGTATGTGGTAATCTAAGTGGGTCTTAGAGTGATTTGTGGGTTTGTCTAATATTTTTGACAATTCATGTAATTTTGTGTGTAGTTCATCAGCATAAAATGTATTTGGCATGTTTTGTATACGGTTGAATAAGGGATTAGCTACCTCTTATTTTTCCTAAAGGGATAGTTTTCCAGCTGATCAACCATTTGTGGGTCTAGAATTAAGGGACTACACTGGGTTACTCTGTCGCCCTGTGGGTGTGAAATGTTTTTTTATTCTTTCTTTGCATTGTTACCTTCGAGGTAATGTGTTTTGTTTTGTGTTTATAATCTAGTGTAAAACAGTGGGGGTGAATGTAGTAGTGTGATGTTGTTCCCCTAGATTATGCACCAAGTTGCACACAAGGACCAGTTCAAGTAGGCCAGGTCAAGAGGGGATGTTAATAAGTTAATAATAATAATAATAATTCAATGTGTTTTCTTTATTTAATTACAGCTGCATAGCTAATGTTATTTTTTGGTGTACAATTTTTTTTATATATATCTATATTGTAAATACACCTGATTGTAAAAGTTTTGTATATCTTGGTTTGGTCCATCGCGGGTTATCTGTACGTACGTACCGTCTTATTGTTCTCTTTTGCCTGACTTTCAACTAGCAAGGTATGTTGTCCTTGGCTCCGTAATTTGTCAATATAAAACTGTGGTAATGTTACACAAAGTGCTGTTACGCAACTATAGGTTTTGTTACAATGTGGACAATATAAAGATTTATGTTAACAAGTTTCACCGAGCTCGCTAATTAGGGTACCTATTGTAACTTGTGAGTACTTGGGACAGTGTTTGAGTGAGTTTCCATGTGCTCACGCAGGTGCCCGAGAGCCGTGACTGCACCAAGGGCTAACATATTGTGTGTTGTTTCTTCGTGTGCAGGTATGTCTTTTATTTTGTATATCATTTTACTTGTATTGTATAGTGTGCTGTTGGGCACTGAATGTGTGCACGCAGCACCTGGACTCTCTTTTGCCTGACCTTCAACTAGCAAGGTGCCCGAGAGCTGTGACTGCACCAAGGGCTAACATATTGTGTGTTGTCTCTTCGTGTGCAGGGCAAATAAAAATAATCCAACCAGCAGACCTCCAGTTGTGGCAGTGTCTTAATTAAAAGTACACAACGCAGAACGAACCACGCTACACATGGACTGTTCTATTTTGATAACTGATCAAAATTCGTTATGCTATAGCCTATAGATCATATTTTGCCAAATGAACACATTTATTTTAGGTCATATAAAGAACAGCTATGCATGATTTAATGAAAAGCAGCAAACAGACATTGTTTCACATTCTTTAATAAAAGACAAACAGAAACAGGCAATAGGCTATACAGCTGGCTTCACAGTTTCCCCGCCTAATAGCCCACCTACAAGGAAACTCAACATATCTCGACAACTTTGAGTGCGCGAGGGGGTCTGTGCGTTGTGTAGTACCTTCCACAAAAAGTTTTGCTGTACAAAAAGAGATGTATATGATATAACCCCACCCACTTTGCCAAAGCACAGCCCCACACCACCAGAGGGATATCAACAGACCACCAACTTGAGACAAGTATAGCCCACAAAGATCTCCCCCACCAACACCCCCACCGCACGAACCCGAAGGGGTGCAAAAACCGATGTGACTTAAAAAGGACCACTCCTATTGGGAACCTTAACAGGAATGCAAACCACTCTCCCTCCTGTTGCTGAACCTAAACCTAACATGTAAAGTTTATGATGACAGTGTTGTGATGTCACCTGTACAGATGTTTTTAAGGTCCTGTTGTGGGACACCGACTTGAACGGGAGGTGATTAGTAAGCACAGCTGTGACACAGGAATCTTCTGGAATGTTAATGTTCTGGAACATGGGATCAGACTCGGTACAGCGGACTAGTCTTTGGGAAACTGATGTGGAAACTTGTCAAACAAGGCAATTATATAGCATATAAATGTATACAGAAAAATAAAATACTGTCAAATGAATAAAATGGGCACACTTGATCACACAAGATCAGTTTAATAAAATCCAATCCAAAGGATATTAGTTGCAATTGAGACCATGCTTTGCTTTTGTTTTTTGTCTTTTCAATAAAATACTCAATCAATTGATGGGAGTTTGAAATAAATATATATATTTTTTAAGTGCAAAGAATCAGGTGACGGCCTTGTGCCACAGAGGGAGAAAGAGAGAAAGATGGAGGCCAAAATATTAACGTGCTCAGATAAGATTCAGAGATTGACCTCAAACATGTCAGTAAAGTACACATCACAAAATAAGTAGAGCCATTACTGTTAAAAGTTAGTGAAGTGACCTAGTCCGTTGATTAGTGTGAGTCCAGAACACTGTAGTGCTGTGATGCAAATTATAATTTTTTATCTTTGATCTGATGTGGTGGGTGAGTGAGTTCTAGAATGTTCAGAAGAGTGACACACAGGACATGACATCATAGGGCAACTGCTCTATACACACAGGCAGTAGCAGTAGTAGCAGATAGCTATTTCTCTTAAATTGTGGGCACAAATTTGTTTACATCCCTGTTAGTGAGCATTTCTCCTTTGCCAACATAATCCATCCACCTGACAGGTGTGGCATATCAAGAAGCTGATTAAACAGCATGATCATTACACAGGTGCACCTTGTACTGGGGACAATAAAAGGACACTACAATGTGCAGTTTTGTCACACAACACAATGCCACCGATATCTCAAGTTGAGGGAGCATGCAATTAGGAATGTCCACCAGAGCTGTTGCCAGAGAATTGAATGTTCATTTCTCTACCATAAGCCACCTCCAACATCATTTTAGAGAATTTAGCAGTACGTCCAACCGGCCTCACAACCGCAGATCACGTGTAACCACGCCAGCCCAGGACTTCCACATCCGGCTTCTTCACCTGCGGGATCATCTGAGACCAGCCACCCAGACAGCTGATGAAACTGAGGAGTATTTTCTTTCTGTAATAAAGCCCTTTTGTGGGGAAAAACTCCTTCTGATTGGCTGGGCCTCGCTCCCCAGTGGGTGGGCCTGGCTCCCAAGCGGGTGGGCCTACGCACTCCCAGGCCCACCCATGGCTGCACCCCTGCCCAGTCATGTGAAATCCATAGATTAGGGCCCAATTTATTTATTTCAATTGACTGATTTCCTTTTATGAACTGTAATTCAGTAAAATCGTTGAAATTGTTGCATGTTATGTTTATATTTTTGTTCAGTATAGTTTGACTAGGATCAGGGATTCACTAGTATTCTACACTACACCTGACCTTATGGTACCGGTCAACACAAAGGGTGAGTCTCAAATGACACCATATTCCCTATATACAAGGGTGTAATTTCAGATGTGTACCATAAGTCAAGCTTCACCAACTCTTCTGTATTTAACCTTTTTTTTATTCAGTTTAGTCTCATTGCAATAATATTTATTTTTCAACAGAGACCTGGTCCAATGATCTACTCCTATCCTCTCATATTTAAGTAGTCACATTAAAATCCTGTACAGACAAATAATAAATAAATAAAAAATTAAATCAACAATACAGCCTTTCGCTAGCCACTGGATAGATTAGCACAGAAATCACTTCATTCAGTCCAGTTTGATAGGTCGTCTTAGAAAATAAATCAGCTTCTCACCAAAACAACCTGCTAAACCTTGAGCCTGCCCGTTTCTGCTTCAGCCAACATGCCATTGTCATGTCTAGCAAGAAAATGTAGGGTTTGCTAATACAGAAAAAGGAAGGTACCCAAGACTAGTACTAAACATCACCTCAGTCTTAACCTAATATTCCCCTGTTTCCTGACAGCTTTGGCCCAAACAAGCTACAATCATATCATCAACCACTCTAGAAGAGCTGTAAGTTACACTGTATAGTTAAAGTCACCTGGGTATGATAGAATTGTTTAGTGGAATTCAGGTAGAAGGGAACTGCCTGTACACAAGCTGGAGAAAGCTGGGAGGGATTCAAAGGGAGCAAAGTAGACAAAGAGGAGAGAGACCAAAAGAAGGGGTTGGTAGAAGAGAAAGGAAGAGGAAGACATCATAGGGGTGGAGGGAACAGGTTGTGTGAAGGAGGAGTGGGAGCTGAGATACAGGCGCTCTACTGGGTCTTCTTGTCCTCAGTAGGAGAGTAGGGGGGAGGTTTGTCCTGGAGAAAAGGAGAAAAACAAAACATGATTACATATTACAGATATACACAGCATGGAGGACAAAATCAACTCTGAGTTAAAACCATTTGATTAAAGTACTACATTGATACTATGCTCATTTGATACAGTGAGGGAAAAAAGTATTTGATCCCCTGCTGATTTTGTACGTTGGCCCACTGACAAAGACATGATCAGTCTATAATTTTAATGGTAGGTTTATTTGAACAGTGAGAGACAGAATAACAACAACAAAAATCCAGAAAAACGCATGTCAAAAATGTTATAAATTGATTAGCATTTTAATGAGGAAAATAAGTATTTGACCCCTCTGCAAAACATGACTTAGTACTTGGTGGCAAAACCCTTGTTGGCAATCACAGAGGTCAGACGTTTCTTGTAGTTGGCCACCAGGTTTGCACACATCTCAGGAGGGATTTTGTCCCACTCCTCTTTGTAGATCTTCTCCAAGTCATTAATGTTTCGAGGCTGACGTTTGGAAACTCGAACCTTCAGCTCCCTCCACAGAATTTCTATGGGATTAAGGTCTGGAGACTGGCTAGGCCACTCCAGGACCTTAATGTGCTTCTTCTTGAGCCACTCCTTTGTTGCCTTGGCCGTGTGTTTTGGGTCATTGTCATGCTGGAATACCCATCCACGACCCATTTTCAATGCCCTGGCTGAGGGAAGGAGGTTCTCACCCAAGATTTGACGGTACATGGCCCCGTCCATCGTCCCTTTGATGCGGTGAAGTTGTCCTGTCCCCTTAGCAGAAAAACACCCCCAAAGCATAATGTTTCCACCTCCATGTTTGACGGTGGGGATGGTGTTCTTGGGGTCATAGGCAGCATTCCTCCTCCTCCAAACACGGCGAGTTGAGTTGATGCCAAAGAGCTCCATTTTGGTCTCATCTGACAACAACACTTTCACCCAGTTCTCCTCTGAATCATTCAGATGTTCATTGGCAAACTTCAGACGGGCCTGTATATGTGCTTTCTTGAGCAGGGGGACCTTGCGGGCGCTGCAGGATTTCAGTCCTTCACGGCGTAGTGTGTTACCAATTGTTTTCTTGGTGACTATGGTCCCAGCTGCCTTGAGATCATTGACAAGATCCTCCCGTGTAGTTCTGGGCTGATTCCTCACCGTTCTCATGATCACTGCAACTCCACGAGGTGAGATCTTGCATGGAGCCCCAGGCCGAGGGAGATTGACAGTTCTTTTGTTTCTTCCATTTGCGAATAATCGCACCAACTGTTGTCACCTTCTCACCAAGCTGCTTGGCGATGGTCTTGTAGCCCATTCCAACCTTGTGTAGGTCTACAATCTTGTCCCTGACATCCTTGGAGAGCTGTTTGGTTTTGGCCATGGTGGAGAGTTTGGAATCTGATTGATTGATTGCTTCTGTGGACAGGTGTCTTTTATACAGGTAACAAACTGAGATTAGGAGCACTCCCTTTAAGAGTGTGCTCCTAATCTCAGCTCGTTACCTGTATAAAAGAAACCTGGGAGCCACAAATCTTTCTGATTGAGAGGGGGTCAAATACTTATTTCCCTCATTCAAATGCAAATCAATTTCTAACATTTTTGACATGCGTTTTTCTGGATTATTTTGTTGTTATTCTGTCTCTCACTGTTCAAATAAACCTACCATTAAAATTATAGACTGATCATTTCTTTGTCAGTGGGCAAATGTACAAAATCAGCAGGGGATCAAATACTTTTTTCCCTCACTGTATACTGTCAGCTCCTACGCTAGATATACCAGGATAACATTTGCTATTTGCTTTGACTAGTTTCTCCAACCTGTCTGTGTCTGACTTGGGGCTGTGGCTGTCATTAACTTTTGTCAGCTGGTTATTGTCATGCAAAAGACTGCGGGTCTCACAGTAATTGACGATTAATTAACAAACATTTAGCATCTCCAGGCCTCCACGCATTATGATATGAAGAATAGGTATTTCAAAAGAACAGAATATGAGTTGGCCTACTGTATGTCATCTGGCTATGCGCCATGCCATAGGCTTGTTCATTTAGCAGACAACATATGCTTATAAGTCCTGTGCCATTATTTTATATGATTTTATAGTAAGAATACTATAATTGAACTTAGTTGAATGAAATAGAAAGGATATTTTTCCCATTCTGGATCGAGTGTGCATACAGAGGGAAAAAAGTATTTGATCCCCTGCTGATTTTCTACGTTTGCCCACTGACAAAGAAATGATCAGTCTATAATTTTAATGGTAGGTTTATTTGAACATTGAGAGACAGAATAACAACAACAAAAAATCCAGAAAAACGCATGTCAAAAATGTTATAAATTGATTTGCATTTTAATGAGGGAAATAAGTATTTGACCCCTCTGCAAAACATGACTTAGTACTTGGTGGCAAAACCCTTGTTGGCAATCACAGAGGTCAGACATTTCTTGTAGTTGGCCACCAGGTTTGCACACATCTCAGGAGGGATTTTGTCCCACTCCTCTTTGCAGATCTTCTCCAAGTCATTAAGGTTTCGAGGCTGACGTTTGGCAACTCGAACCTTCAGCTCCCTCCACAGATTTGCTATGGGATTATACTTATTTCCCTCATTAAAATGCAAATCAATTTATAACATTTTTGTCTCTCACTGTTCAAATAAACCTACCATTAAAATTATAGACTGATCATTTCTTTGTCAGTGGGCAAACGTACAAAATCAGCAGGGGATCAAATACTTTTTTCCCCTCACTGTATGAAGTGGCTGTTGAGCATAAGTGATCATTTTAAACAGGTCCTATACGCTAGATTTAGAGTTATTTGGCAACTTTAGTTGTGAATGATACAAACCTTAGAAGGTCTTAGAAATCAAAAGATATGGGCTGCATGACCATAGGCTATTGATGATTTGAGAAAGTCGCAAAAAAAAAAAGGTTCAACTCTGTTCCTTGCCTCAGGCTGCACACGCTGTTCTCTCATGAAGTGATCATATTTTCACCTAACAGACTATTCTCAATTTAATCTTAACTAATATGTAAAAATGTGTTTTGATTTAGAATGGCCCATTGTCAAATGGGCCGGAACAGCAGCAAAAATAAAATAAAAAAAGACATCTGTATGCATTCGAAAAGCGAATGGAGGTCACTTTCCCGCGGTTCGTTTTTTCAATCATGCTGAGTAGGCTACTCTGGTTATTTCACTCCATGCATCAACCACTGTTTGAGGAGCATGCAGCCTCTCGCTGCGCAACAGGTGATATTCTGCCAAACTCTGTATGCCATGGGCTCTCCAACCCTGTTCCTGCAGCTACCCAGTGCTTAATTTGGGAAACTAAGTGAAATACGTTCGGGAACATTGATAGTAATATGTTTTCTAAGGAAACATTTCATTAAACTATTGACAGCCCCTCTCTGCTTGCTCGAGAAAGGAATGTAGGAGAGAGAGGAGATGGAAATGCACAGTCTGTAGCTAAAAGGTAATGCATCAGCCTATTCATTATGAAAATATAAAAAAATGCACTATTACTAGGGTATTCAAAATCAAATTAACTATAATTGTAAGCTAACTCTGTAAGCCTGCCTAGGCCTATACGTTCTCTCCCAGAATCATAGAAGGTTTGGAGCGTAGCATAAGATAACCAGTCCATCCAGTATGCATAATAATACAGGCGATTACTAGAATTTGTTCAATTTTGGAGTATATGCTCAACCAATTATGTACCAAAGACATCTTTGGGGGGCTTGGGCTTAGGCTCAAATATAGGCCTATGCATATGCTCTAATATACTTATGGGTGTTTTGAATCAATCATCACCTTAGAAAACGCTGTCCATTTCGTTGTGCTAGGCTTTGAAACAACATCCACAACCAACATATTTTCCACTCCGTTTCAACATGTTGTTGAACTTCTTTCTTCAAATTGATCAATCACAGTGAGGTGAGTTTTAAAAGCACGATACTGTTTTGATGATAAGTGTTTGATGTGATTTTCGATGGCATTTGCATTGATTTCAGAGTGGTTAGAGGGACAATACAGCCCTGAGTACCAGGCCATTAGCGACCTGATAGTCGTTAGCAAATTGGGTACTACCAACTCATGTCCAGACTGCATCAAAGGAGATTAGGTGACTCAAAAGGTCACGTGGAATTTTACTGCGTTCATGACTGCCGGTGTAGCGGTAATACTGTCACCACAACAGCCCTAGTCTGACTATTCTCCACCTGAGAGGAAGTGAGCACCTTTACTCTGGTTGCACTGTAAGGGGGATGTCATTCACAGGTCTCTGTACCACTGGATTGTTCCTCTCTCATTGGTCCTGTGCTGCTTCCTGCATGGCATTCATTGGCTGTACTCTGAGCTGCTCTTTGTTTATTGGTCAGGCAGCTGTCTGCATTGACTTGCCCTGATGACCCTGCCTACTACCTGCTACTGGGCCAACAATTTAAATATAATGGGGAGAATCCATACCCTACTACAGTGAAATGTTATCCATGTGTATTTGATCAATATTCCTTCCTACACTTAATGTTTAAAGTCAGATTTAGAGTGGTAAAATTGTAAAATGGTGGTAAACAGGCGTACCTGTGGTAGGTAGGTGGGAGGGAGTGTGGCACAGCTGGCACTGGCTGCTGCCTCTGCTGCCTTTGCCTCGGCTGGGGGAGGAGAGAGAAGCGCAAGTTAATTCATTGTCCTATTATTTAATGCTTTGGCAGCATGGGATCACTCACATCTTGCTAATTAAAACTATCACTAATGAAGGAACTTTGCAAGAGTGAGTTAGAAAGAGAGGGAGAGAGGGTGAGCGAGGGGAAGGATAGAGAGAGCGAGAGAGAAAGCGAGAACCAAAATGACTTCTGACCTGCAGGTGTGGAGGGCAGGTCGGGGTCGTGGGGGGGCTGCTGTCCCAGGGGGGCGGAGTAGGGAGGAGGGGGCATGTAGGCCGCAGGGCCATCAAACACTGCAGGGTTGGGGTAGAATGCATCTGGAAAGAAACAACAGACAGTGGTTAGATATGAGATGCAATAATACATGGACTGTTTTGTGTGATAAAAATATTTTTCAATGTTCAATTAGACAAGTACAAAACATTAAAAGGAAGACAACTGTAGTCTTCATGTCTGGTCAGTACCTGGTGGAGGGGGGTTGGGGTAGGAGTACCCAGGTGGGGGTCCCGCCGGGTACCCATTGGCTGGGGGAGGAGGGTAGGCATATGCCCCGTTGGCCATGTAGGGACAGCCCCCAAAGCCAACACTCACAGGCTGCCCTCTGGACGCTGCACAGGGGAAGAAGAGAGGGGGAAACACATCCATTTAAACTAACTATTTCAAAGGCGCTAGTCACTGGGTAAAATGGTAAAAGAATAAGCTCCAAAAGTCCTTTACCTTGTGCAGCGACCTGTAACATGTACTGTCCAAACTCTATGGCTCCTCCAGCCGCAAACACCAGCTTAAAGGTGGCACAGCCCTCCCAGCCTCCTGAGATAGTGATAGAAGTACAGTTAACTCTTTCAAAAAATTAAAGATGATAAAACATATTCCAGATTTTAATCTAAAGTGAGCCTGTTCCTCCAAGGTTTGGCAGAGAGATCAAGAAGACTTTCCTTTTATGTCCATTTTAAGCACAGCAATGGTCCTTGACTAGGTATGTCTCATAAATGTACTTATTATGCATAGTCACTTTACCCCTACCTACATGTACAAATTACCTCGACTAACCTGTACCTCCCGCACATTGACTCGGTACCGGTAACCCCTGTATATAGCTTCATTATTGTTATTTTATTGTGTAACTTTTTTTTCCCGTTTATTTAGTAAATATTTTCTTAACTCTATTTTCTTAAAACTGCATTGTTGGTTAAGGGCTTGTAAGTAAGCATTTCATGGTAAGGTCTACACCTGTTGTATTCAGCGCATGTGACAAATAAAATGTGATTTGATTTGATGTATGTTTCTCTGCTACTGACAGTGGGAAGTCTGGTGGGAGATACAGTCATAGACTCACTCTCTCACACACAAACACACACCTCCGGGCTCTGCGCTGACTGTGCCTTTGATGTAGTTGGCCCCCAGGACAGGCTGTTTGACCTCACAGCCCTTCATCAGGTAGAAAGGCATCATGAAGGATTGCAGAGCATCATGACCCCCCTTCGCCACAAAGATCACCTGGGGACAGACAACCTGGATTACACTCATCCTTTTCTTTCATATCTAGACAGGTGCCTACAGGGTTAGGGACTGGGTTGGGATTGGGTGTATAAAAATGTTTGTATGGTAAAGACGTGTCTCCTCTTACCCTGTAGGGAGTCAGGAAGATGCTCCCCTTCTTACTCTTCCTGAAGGCATCAGGCAGGCACTCTGCTTCACAGAATACCAGCTCCACGTTCTCATAGCTCATCAACACACTGATGACACACACACACACTTTTGTCAACATATAAGTTTGAAGTTGCAAGTCAATTCAGTGTTAATTTACCTAAATCAACATGACAATCATTATTTTCCATAACCACACAGATTTTTTTTTTAAAAGAGCATGCTTATGAGATCAGGGGGACATTGTGCAACTGTCCGAGTTGGTCAGTTACCATAAGTGGTCCATTGCTTATCTCCAGTAAAGAACTAGTAAGGTGTAATAGGCTAAGGCTTGGTGACACACTAGTGGCTGGCTAGGAGGCTAGTTACAACACTTTAATAGGTTTACCCTTTTACCTGCCATGCCCGCATGACAGATACGTAACACGTATTTTGGGGAAAACAGCAGAAAAATCTACAATATTTGACAGAGCAGGCCTATTCGTACAGCCACACATCCCTAGCTAGTTAGATAGTTAGCCATCTTTTGCATCTTTGCAGAGGCTGACTTATGCCACGTTCACATCATGTCGGAAACTCAAATTCCCGACTTGCTTAGGCGGAAGTGTCGGATCCCGAGTTTCCCACTTGGGAGTTACCAGAATCAACCAATAGGAAGCTCTATGCAAATATCTTAACGTTCATTTTAACTCGGAGGTCCCGAGTTTGCGACGTGAACACGGCATAATGGTGCTTTCAACTGGGAACTCTGAAAAACCGAGATCAAATGGGAGAGCAGGAGGAGCAATGACGCAAAAGTGTAAGAATGGCACGCTGCTAAGATCAGAGATTTGTCTCCCGTGTATACACCTTCGTTCGAGGAGTACATACCTACAGCTCCTGATTACAAACCAATTAATCTTACTTATAGGTCATCATGCTCTCTTGAGAACCTTGATGATCTCGAAATGGAGTCAGTCGGCAGTGGTGAGTGCCTACCTGCGGCGTAAGATGTAGTGGGCCTACCTGCGGCGTAGGATGTAGTGGGCCTACCTGCAGCGTAGGATGTAGTGGGCCTACCTGCGGCGTAAGATGTAGTGGGCCTACCTGTGGCGTAGGATGTAGTGGGCCTACCTGCGGCATAGGATGTAGTGGGCCTACCTGCGGCGTAGGATGTAGTGGGCCTACCTGCGGCGTAGGATGTAGTGGGCCTACCTGGGGATGTAGTGGGCCTACCTGCAGCGTAGGATGTAGTGGGCCTACCTGCGGCGTAGGATGTAGTGGGCCTACCTGTGGCGTAGAGTGTAGTGGGCCTACCTGCGGCGTAAGATGTAGTGGGCCTACCTGCGGCGTAGGATGTAGTGGGCCTACCTGCAGCAGCGTAGGATGTAGTGGGCCTACCTGCAGCAGCGTAGGATGTAGTGGGCCTACCTGCGGCGTAGGATGTAGTGGGCCTACCTGCGGCGTAGGATGTAGTGGGCCTACCTGCGGCGTAGGATGTAGTGGGCCTACCTGCGGCGTAGGATGTAGTGGGCCTACCTGCGGCGTAGGATGTAGTGGGCCTACCTGCGGCGACAGGTGTGGTATAGTCTTCCAATGTTTGCCCTACCAGATATCATTTTGGACCGGTAGGAGTGAGATTTTTGGAAAGAGTGGATTCCTGCTTTTTTGCTGACCCATGCGTAGTGTTAAGCTGGGTAAATGACAAACTGGGAATGGTTACATCTGTGAAAGTTTCAAGAAGTAGAATTGTTTAGATTTTTTGTGTATCCGCCTCCCAGAGGAAGCGGGCCCTTCAAGTCACGCGGCTCGGGGTTAAACCTGTGGTGTGCTTTGGTCTCCGGAGCAGGGCGTTACTAAAATGGGTGATCAGTGGGGTAGCATTGAGTGTAGAGGTGGATCAAATGAAAAGGAATATTCTTAGTGTTTGTGACGCCCGCCTTTTGATGAGAAGTAGACCCGGTGGCAATGGCGAGACTGAGAACACCCAGTCTGTCTTGTTGAGCTTTGACAGAGTTTCTTCCTGATAAGGTCAGGTTATATTTTCTATTCTGTGAGGGCCTATGTTCCGAAACCCGCTTCGGTGCTTTAGGTGCCAAGGATTCTGACATGTTGCAGCAGTGTGTAGACGGGAGATCCCACGATGTGAGAAATGTGCAGGAGGGCAAAGTCAGAGGGAGTGTACAGTTGGGATAGAGAAAGCACTGTGTCAACTGTGGGGGTGCCCACGCAACTGGGGATCCGAAATGACCTGTGAGAGAGTCAGATTGAGATTGCCAGAGTTCGAGTGGGGCAGAAAGTTTCCTATGCTGAGGCAGTGAAGAGAGTAGAGGATAGCCCAAGGGTGAGTTAGTCGACTGGTAGCCTCCAGTGAGTAGGCCTGAAGAGAGAGAGTGAGTTTTAGTAAGGTTGGATTTCTTGCGTTTATAGCCATGGTAATCAACTGCACTGATGGAGCAAAAATCACAGAAGATAGAGGCGGTAGTTGCAGCAGCAGAGATATTTGGGTGTGAGAGAAGGGGTTCCATCCTCACAGGCTGACGGCCTTGTGTAGGATCGTTTAGGGCCAAGAAGTGGGATGGGGTGGTGGGATTTTGGGGATAGTGTATAGGTGCAGGGTTAGATGGTGGTGCAATTTAAGTTTTTGCCATTCCCCTTTATTTTTTTGTTTTGTCACAATGTGGAATGCACATTCCTAACTGAGAAAGGCAGCAATATGCCAAAAAGAGTCTGCCAGAAATTCACAATAAGAAGAAGAAGAGGTCAAATCATGACATCAGTGGTCTTCATGTCGGAGTTCTAGAAAGATGCCCGTTTTGGATGACCATTCAAAACTATTTTCCCCAGTCGGAGCTCGTTTTTTTCTGAGTTCCCAGTTGTCTTGAACTCACTGAAGTCGGAGATAAACTCAACCTAAACTGATGAGCTATAGTGACACTGACAGGCAGTAAACACACGATTCGACTGTCATCATTATGCAAGAGCTAGCTTCTGAGTCCTGGCCAAGTTGTTGACAAGGCAAGATCTATTAGCTAGTTTGCCAGGTGCCTGAAAGAATACGCAATGTCAAAGCTACACATAGCTACAAAACATTGATTGGCTAGCTGTTAAGCTAAACAGAAATCTAGCTACTACCTAGCTACATAGGGGGAATCTCAATTTTATACTCCTCGTGTCCCCTCTCCTCGCCTCTTGCTCAAAACCCATTGGATGAGAAAGCCAGAGGTCCCGCCCCTCTGACCTTCTCCAAAAATGGGTTTTGAGGAGGTGAAGTGAGGACGCGAGGAGTAAGCAAATTGACATTCTCCCATACACACAGCTAGCTCACTAACGTAACTCTACCAAAGTCAGTACAGTATGAAGATAGGCAGGAATTGCTTCTCCAATAGAAATCCCCGATCATGTTTGAAGGCGATGGCATGGCGATGTTGGCTAACTAAGCTCATGCGCATACACACGTCAGGGTCTAACTTTCGTCTCGCGCCGAACTGCGCATGTGCAGGCCGTCAAATCAAAAATCAAAAACGTGTCAGTTTGTCACTTTCACGAGGTTGGAGTAATCACATATTCAAATACTTAATACATTGGCTCGAATCTAGCTTGTGCCTTTAGATTTCGAAAAGATTAACAACCATGGTAGAATTCACTTCTCTCATTTGACTTCTCAAACCCCAAACACCGGCCTGGTCCGCTTAGTCTGCTTCGCAAGTGTTCCCGGAAGTCTAGCGATATTGCGTCTCTGTGTTTAGAAACTCTGTGCGTCTACTACGACTAGCTTGCTCACGTTGACTGAAGAGCATTAGCTAGCTAGTATGAGCAAGCTAGCTAACTCTAGCTATCTAACGTTACCTTTCACTGTTGGTGATAATGACGCCTCCGGATTCAGAATTGTTCTTGTTCAAAGCCATTGCGATGTCGCCTCGTAACTACCGAGTGGAATGAACAAAGTAAAAGACTGACAAATGCAGTCTCAAATGTAAACTGAATCAAATCTGTTTGTAGTTTCACTAGTCCGCCTGCTCCACGGACCACTTTTGTTGTGACGCTGATGCGCCTGCACTTTCTGGCATGTTACGCCCACACGGCGATGTCATCTCTGAAAAGTGGCTCTTTCTGGCCATTTCTACAGAGAGAGAGTGGACGACTTTAGAAAGATGTCATTAAGGTACACAGTGAAGTGGTTTACCATACTGTATTTTGTTAAACATATTATCAGTTGAATTTGAAAGAGCTCTACAGTACCCAATATTTAGGCTACTTATTACATTTTAGTCATTTAGCAAACGCTCTTATCCAGAGCGACTTACAGTTAGTGAGTGCATACATTTTCATACTGGCCCCCCGTGGGAAACGAACCCACAACCCTGGCGTTGCAAGCGCCATGCTCTACCAACTGAGCTACAGGGGACTATGTTTTGTCGGATAAACATTCCAAACAGCCTACCCGACTGCTCTGAGGCATCCGCATGGTCCTACAGCACACCGTTGACTTGTTTTGTATCACATTCCAATGATAAAACTGGGGGGGACAAAAATGCAATTTCAGAATGTGGGGGGGACATGTCCCCCCTTATCCCCAGTGACAGTTGTGCCCCTGTCTTGTGTTATACCTTTACATAACAGGATTGCTACTGTGTACATTTCTGTGCCTAATGCAAAGCAACCATGTTCAATATTTACATTTTATTGACTTGCCTAATCTACACATAACAGGACATTGCCATGTGTAAGGCCCTGAGGGCCGTAGTTATAGCCTTCTTGGTCAGGCAAAACTCAGACCCCTTACATTTTGTTGCACACTGAGCTCAAACCAAGCAATGTTGCCTGAACCAAGATGTTGATGAAGTAACAGAGGTTCACTGTAGTTTCTAGAAGAAGCTTGGTGGTGATGGGCTGATGAGTGTTGTTGCAACAGAGACAGACGCGAAGAGAACACCATGCAGAGGAGAGAGAAACATGCCATGGTCTGTGTGTGTACGAGTGTGTGTGTTTGTTTGTTTATGCGTTTGTATGTGTGTATACTACTGTATACATTGTGCAAGAGAAAGAGAGAGATGTCATTTGGACAAAGATGAAGAAACGGTTGCAAGCTACAGCAACCACCTTCAACAGGAAATGATGACTTCCGGTTGCTAAGCGATAGCACTGCGCTCTTGTATAGCTTCCCACCCACAAGACACAGCAGACAACACACAGCCACACACACTCAGCCATACATGTCTCACCAAAGAGGGGCGTTTGGCTGTTCATCCACCTCAGCCATGATGCCAAGCCAAGATGGAATCTCCACAACAGGAGACAACCTACTACAACCTCCCGATCAGGCAAGTACCAAACTTTGTCATGTAGAAAATAAGTTAATTTAATGTGTTCATATTTGTAATACACAACAAAATAAATCTAAAGCCTTCATCTTCTGTGAAACACCTTTATTGTATTGGTATTGGCCCGTCTTATTAGAAAGGGTTTATATTGCATTTTGGCACTATGGACATCATCAGGCTCCTGTGTGTGTGTTTAGAGTTTGATATCCTCTTAGATAACAGTTTGGGAGGACGGCCTCAACGGATGCTGAGGTTAAATTGGTTTGCGAAACTTTATTTTCCCCATCAGTTCAGTTTTGAGTGACTTCAAAATACCTTTTGTATTGAGAAGAAATGTGTCATGATCATTGATGTTTTACTAACACTTTAACTGACTCTTGTTTATCATTAATGTACTCGTTGTGTAAGCATTACATGCATTCCATTTGGTATTTTTAGATAAGATGTGACCATGACTCATACTTCGGTACTACTCAGTGTTTCTGTTTGAGGTCAGATGATACTGTACGGAGAGGGATGTGTTTTCACTTTTCATAAAAGAACCACAGACAAGACAGCCATAGTTTTGATACCTGTGTGTGTCTGTGTGCGCGCGTGTGTGTATGCATGTTTTATGTGCATTCTTTTTTATCCAATTCTAAATTTGAGTACAGAGACTGGAGTAGGGTAGTTTCCATATCGCCTTCAATGAGGAAGTCCCTGCCAGAATCGACGCTTATCTGACGTGTGTCACCCTGACTATGCATGGGATTGTTTCACATTAAAACTCAGACATTTCTCAAGCTCCCCACTAATGCATAATTGATATGTCACAGCAGGTACATTTGGCCTATCTAAAGCGTGTATTTCTAGGATAAGTATAGGGCCAGGGGTTTCTTGACCACCAGTGGCTAAACTGTGTTGTTTCCCTTCCACATTTGCCTCCATACAGACTTGTGGCTCAACTAGGAACAGACAGAGACAGGTAGAGTGAGAAGAACCTCTCCACTTCAATTGTATATTTTAAATATGCACAAAATATTAATGTTATTTTGCTATACATGCTTCCCACAACCAAGGGTTCCTGTATTACAGTATTGTGTGTAACCCCTCTTTCTCTCAGAGCTCCCCTGCCCGTAAACTGGGGATGACCAGAAAACAGAAGGACAGGAGGGTAGGTCCAGCTCCTTTTTTCTCCACCTAGGGACTAGTGTTGTTAAGCAGTATGAGCTAAAGCCTTGTGCTGCAATGAATATCGTAATCAATAATGCTGTGTCTTGATTGTGTCTGTCATTATCAAATAAACTATTAAGTAAGTTTGTACACAATAACTTTATGAACTGTGACTTTGACTTCAGCATTTCCTGAATACAGCACACACAGTAGATAACATGATCTATGTACTTTCAGGACTTTAAAGAGAATGAGAACCCAGAAGAGAAAGAGAAAAGACATAAGGAGCAAGAGGTATTATCACTATAACTTATAAGAATTGTGCTTGTTTTCATATACTTTTTTTCTACAGCAGGTGACATTAGTAGGCCTTTCAGAGTCCATATTGAAGGTTCATGTTTGACCGTCTTCTCTCTCTTTCTCACACATCTTCTCCCTCCCAGCTCAAGCCGCTGTATAAAGAGCTGCTTTATACTATCACCCACATGCTGGGGAAGCCAGCCTCGGCAGAGGTCTTCACTGACAACCAGCTCCACCAATACATCAGAGAGGTGACAATCTAACCAAACAAACTCAACTAACCCTATACTATACTAACCCTCTCATTTACATTACATCTAACCAAAAATGCTATGCTTTGATTATTTCATTGTCCCAATACTAATACCTCCCCCTTTAGGCTTTCTCTATGGCAGTGGATGAACACCAGAGTCTGACAGAGAGAGTCCAGAGCACAGAGGTGAGTTAGCAGAGGAGTTTCATAGGTCTATGAGAAGCCATTTGACCCAGCAGTATTTACCTATACAGTATCTAAGGGGGTTTTGTCACATGCAAGAATCTACCTATTCTTTTTCTGAGTTCCTGAGTCTGAGTCTTGTCCACAGCCTCCAGTCTACTGTCTGATGGCCACTGTGAAGGAAGCCAAGGGCATCCTGGGAAAAGACGTCAGTGGTACGTCATCCTCACCTCAGATCTGTGAACGCAATCAAATTCACTTAGGGTTAGGGTAAACTATTTTGATTATCTGGAGGTGGCAAGAGATTTCTCTATTTATGTTGGTCCGTTTAGGAACTACAGATCTGGCAGAGGTTTTACTATTGTGGTCTGCGAATCCAACTATAGCTGACCTCCATTGTGTTGTATTATGTTGTCCCCAGGTTTCAGTGACCCATACTGCTTACTGACCATCCTGGAGGATGAGAAGGAGAGCAGGACACGGCGGTCCAGACCTAAACCCCGTAAAGCCGTGGTGAAGGACGCCGTCTCAGACGAGAAGGTTTTCACGACAGACACCAAGATACAGACCCTCAACCCCATTTGGAACCAGACCTTCGTACTGTGCGTGAAGGAACATTTACATAGCACCTAGAACCTATAAATAAAACAAACCTATGAGTTTACTTTACATAGGGTATCTTGAAATTGCCTGGTCCCAGATCAGTTTGTATTGCCTTGAACATCCTGATAAAGTAAACACTGAAGCTACTCCATGTGGTGTCTTTCATGGAGATTGTAAAAAATTTTCTTCCCCTGGGCTGGTAGGGAGTTTGAAGACACTGCAGGGGCCAGCTTCCACATCGAGATGTGGTGAGTTACCAGTAAACCATTGTTTTGTTAGGTTGAAGTAAAAGACACTCAATTTTTTTTCATATTCATTTCTGATCAATCTCTCTCTCGTAGGGACAAGGATGAGGAGGTGTCTCTGGCACAGAAGCTAGAGGAGATCAGAACGAATTTCCATGGACTGAGGAGGTAGAGCTTGCATACACGCACACGCACACACACACACACACACATTATCACAATGTTGATTGTTTCTGATCCCATTCAGGATGTTCAAGGATGCTAAGAAGGAGAAAGGCCAGGATGATTTCTTGGGAAGCATTGTGCTGAGACTGAAGGTAAAGCAGTTTCTAAACACGCACGCATGCGCACATGCTCACCCACCCTGATGCTCACCATGCAACACTCCCTGTGTGTGTGTGTGTGTGTGTGTGTGTGTGTGAAGGACCTGCATTTTACAGAGGATAACTGGTATGTTCTGGAGCCGAGGACAGAGACTTATCCAGATCGGGGCCAGTGTCATCTGCAGCTCAAATTCATCCATAAAGAGGTATGGAGCTCAAGTCCCCCTACAACTCTCTACTGGCAAATTATGTTTAATAAAGCAGAATTGGTCAACATAATGAACACACAAAACCAAAGTTGTCAATCTACACATCTAGTCAGACTGATGAGAGAAACACCCAAGGAGCAGGGTGGTCTTTCTCTTACAGTAACCTTTTATTAACAGTAAGTATAGTTGTTGATCTACAGTAAGCTTAGTTTATCACTTGTAGTTGGTGAAATGTCTACTGTACAATTGTATTTATTGTATGTAGAAAAAGAAACAGACCGATTACAGTATGTGTTTGTCTGTGACAGAGAGACGGGACATTGAGTGCTGGTCGTAGTGCTTACGTCAACTACTGCGGGATCCTACAGCAGTTTGTCCAGTCACACATCTCTAAGCAGCAGGTAATAAATGTTCAGTTCCAACATTTCACAGTCATATACCTGTACATCTAGTGGTTAATCTGTGAAGGTAATACACCTGCCTCAGGGTAGTGGTCCATGGAAGGGGGAGTTGTGTGGGGAGGGACAGACCCTGTTGGAACTCTACGCCACTCAGAATAACCTCTCACCTTTCCTGCAGGACCTGGCGTAAGTAGGCTACCACACACTCAAAACACATACACACATCTACACTCACATGCATGTACAAATTGACACTATATGTCTTATAGGAAGTGGGTGGCCTACAGTAAACTCTACCAGAGTTTAGAGGTGGACTCCTCAGTACTGCTCCAGCAGCTGACCAGTATAGAGTACCACTGGCACCAGCAGGAGCTGCCCCACCAACAGGTAAGACAGGCTTTACTTTGCTATTTGCATATTATATACTGTGTATATATTTTACTAATGAAATAAACACAAACATATGTGTACAGAAACAGGAGCTAGGGGACTCTCTCCATGGTTTCCTGCAGTACGGACTGTGTCTCGTGGCCAAGTACAGAGACATCTTTCCCCCAACGCAGGACGCTACCACTCGCCTACACACACTGCTCAGGTACCCTACTGTATGTATGTGTGTGCGTATGTGTGTGTATTTGTATTTATTATGGATCCCCATTAGCTGCTGCCAAGGCAGCAGCTACTCTTCCTGGGGTCCTGCAAAATTAAGTAAGTTATACCATTTTTTAAAACATTACAATACATTCATAATAGATTTCACAACACACTGTGTGTCCTCAGGCCCCTACTCCACTACCACATATCTACAACACAAAACCCATGTGTACGTGTGTGTATAGTGCGTATGTTATCATGTGTGTGTATGCATGTGTCTGTGCTTATGTTTTTGTTGCTTCACAGTCCCCGCTGTTCCATAAGGTGTATTTTTATCTGGGTTTTTTAATCTGATTCTACTGCTTGCATCAGTTACCTGATGTGGAATAGAGCTCCATGTAATCATGTCTCTATGTAGTACTGTGTGCCTCCCATAGTCTGTTCTGGACTTGGGGACTGTGAAGAGACCTCTGGTGGCATGTCTTGTGGGGTATGCATGGGTGTCTGAGCTGTGTGCTAGTCATTTAAACAGACAGCTCGGTGCTTTCAACATGTCAATACCTCTTACAAATACAAGTAGTGATGAAGTCAATCTCTCCTCTACTTTGAGCCAGGAGAGATTGACATGCATATTATTCATGTTTGCTCTCTGTGTACATCCAAGGGCCAGCCATGCTGCCCTGTTCTGAACAAATTGCAATTTTCCTAAATCCCTCTTTGTGGCACCTGACCACATGACTGAACAGTAGTCCAGGTGCGACAAAACTAGAGCCTGTAGGACCTACCTTGTTGATAGTGCTGTTAAGGTAGATCAGCGCTTTATTATGGACAGACTTCTCCCCATCTTAGCTACTGTTGTATCAATATGTTTTGATCATGACAGTTTACAATCCAGAGTTACTCCAAGAAGTTTAGTCACCTCTACTTGCTCAATTTCCACATTATTTATTACAAGATTTAGTTGAGGTTTCAGGTTTAGTGAATGATTTGTCCCAAATACAATGCTTTTAGTTTTTGAAATATTTAGGACTGACTTATTCCTTGCCACCCATTCTGAAACTAACTGCAGCTCTTTGTTAAGTGTTGCAGTCGCTGTAGTAGTGCCACAGGTGTAGAGAGGAGTAGGCAGGAGGCAGTCGCAGGTTTAGAACTACTGAATTTATTTAAGCACCATAGATCAAAGCGGGACGAAACCCAAACGCTGTTGTGCTCAAAATATATCTTAATAAACAAAAGGCACAGGGTGAACCCAAAGTGCAAAATATAAAGTACTCAAGAAATGGTAGGAGAGATTCCTCTCAGGAAAACAAGTAACATATAAAATGACCGACAAAGACAAATGGCAGAGGGAGTGTATATATACAGTGATAGAGTGGGGATTGGAACCAGGTGTGTGTAATAATGACGAGAACAGTCCGGGGTTGATGAGTGAAGGGTGTTTGCCAGCAGTAGGTTCGGCAGCAGCTAGAAGGCCGGCGACGCCGAATGCCTGAGCTGGACAGGAGGGGGAGCCAAAGCGAAGGCTGGTGTGACAAGTAGCTGACGTGTATAGTGTTGAGTCATCCGCATACATAGACACACTGGCATTACTCAAAGCCAGTGGCATGTCGTTAGTAAAGATTGAAAAAAGTAAGGGGCCTAGACAGCTGCCCTGGGGAATTCCTGGTTCTACCTGGATTATGTTGGAGAGGCTTCCATTAAAGAATACCCTCTGTGTTCTGTTAGACAGGTAACTCTTTATCCACAGTAAAGCAGGGGATGTAAAGCCATAACACATACGTTTTTCCAGCAGCAGACTATGATCGATAATGTCAAAAGCCGCACTGAAATCTAACAAAACAGCCCCCACAATCTTTTTATCATCAATTTCTCTCAGCCAAGTGCTGTGTTTGATGAATGTCCTTCCCTATAAGCGTGCTGAAAGTCTGTTGTCAATTTGTTTACTGTAAAACGTGTGTGTGTGAGTGTGCGATATATTATGTGTTTAACACAGATCTAATGAACAACCTGTGTGTTGTTTTGTTGTAGGATCCTGTCTCAGGTCTGTAAGACGCAGGCATTTCAGAAGCTGAACCCAGCTCAGTTTGACCTACATGACGAGGTCAACGAGGCTGTACATGTAAGTACATATAGAAAGAGTACTATAAAGACTACAGTTAATACTGTAAAAGATCCACAGAGCTATTACTCTCTAAGACTGAATGTCTTTGTTTGCCTCAGTCTGGTACACAGGAGTGGTTCACCATAAAGAAAGGGTTACACCAGCCCATGACCAAGGTAGGCTAAAGACAAGGGAAGAGAGACCCCTCCCACATATCACTTTCAAAGCACATCATGCACTTCTTTACACACTTTCCCTTTACACACATTCTGTAACTTTATCTCCCCCCCCCCCCCCCCCCCATTTCTCTCTTCCCAGGACCTGACAGAGACTGTGAGTGCTCTCTCTAGGCTGATAGGTGAAGTACAGCAGGACATCAAGCACAACAAGGACAGCTGGAATAGAGTGTTTGTCAGGTAAGAGACAGACGACCATACAGAACATGTATGGTGGGAGGTGTCATTATCTGTCTTGAATACGAAGAAGGTCTGCTTGTTAATCACATGAATGGACTTGAATGGGGTTGTTTTTCTTTCTCTCTCTCTGTAGTGCTGTGCAGGTGGATGTGTTCACTGTAGTCTACCAAAAGCTGGACTCCCTGGTAAGTGGAGTCCAGCTTTTTTTACTCTCTACCTCTCTCTCTCCGCTGTATAACTCACACCTTTCCCCCTCTCCTGTAGCTGGCGGGGGAGGTGAGAGACACTCTAAGGCTGTTGGAGGGCGAGATGGAGCAGAGTTTAGCCAATAGCCTGTTCCCTCTCTACCTAAGTCTACAGGTCATCCACAAAGACAAGGCCTTCCTACAGAAAAGGTAAGAGATTACTCCCTTATGCTACAAACTCAGTAGTACACACTACTTATACACTACTCCCTTACACATACTCAGTATTTCACACTACTACACTATATGATAGAGCTAAGGCTGTTGTGTTGTTTCAGGGGTAATCTGTTGGAGCTGACTAACTTCCATGAGGGCTTCCGTGAGGCGCTTCCCTATTGGTTGAACAAGGCCTTCAGCACCACTCTGGAACGGGTGGAGAGAGCTGTACAGGTGGACCAGGTAACATACTATTATAACACTACACCTAGAATAGAATAGAATTCCACCCACTCCTCAATCAATCAAAACTACCATTACCCTGCCCATTCTCCCTCCAGCAGAGGCGGAACTTCAGCTCCTTTCACCAGGTTAAATACACACACCTGCAGGCAATTAGTGGCAGCCTGACAAACCTCCAGTTGATACCTTTCAGCGTTTGTAGTTGTTTAGTAGGTTATACCTTTTACCTGTGGATGCATTTATTGAAAATAAATCATCTGTACCATCCTTCATACCGTCCTATCATCCCTGCTATTACATTCTACGATTAAACCGGGCTATAGCCTTTTGAACTGTTCTCCATATCTCTGTGTGTTCTTACTGACACAACACCACGGTAGCCCATACCAACATCAGCAATACAACCTATACAGTCCTTTCAGTCTACCAGTTTTTACAATAATTTAATTGAATAATATAATGAAATTGAATAGATACCAGCTAAAATATTCACTGTACACCTTAGTTGCACTCCAGTCTGCTTTTCACCTCATTTATCACCTGATATCCTCAACAAAAGGCGCATCTCGATAGGTGGTCGAGGTATCCTCATGATATGGCACAAGTGGGGGGATGGGACTTTCCTATTTTGTTCTCTATTGCTCCTCTACTTTTAGCGCAAGCAAGGGGGAGGCCGATGACATCAGAGGGCACCATCAGACCAACTCCTTGAATGGCCTACTTCTTGAAGTTTGCAGTTGTCTAAAAAAAACACTTTTTCCTCAAAACATATTTTTGTGTACATTACTGTATTTATACGTGGGATATTGTTTTTCAACTGGAAAAGTTCCAAAATAGCTGGAGTGCATCTTTATAGCCAGGTATCCGCCTCTGGCCTGCTGGCCCCCCTTTTTTTTATTGTAAAGTGGTTAACCCACTGGCTATAGGGTGAATGCACCAATTTGTAAGTCGCTCTGGATAAGAGCGTCTGCTAAATGACTTAAATGTAAATGTAAAATGTAAGATACTCACTCACTCAATCCCTCCCTCACTCTCCTATCTTCCCCCAGCTCCAGCCACTGCAGTCAGGCCCGGTGCCCATAAAACACAGCTCATCAGCAGTAGACCTGGTGGCCTGTGTCCAGCCCATCTGTCAGCTGTGGGAGCAGCTCTCCTGGCCAGACCCTGAGGAGGCCTTCATGCTCATGGTCAAACTCACTGAGGTACTGCATCATAAACATACATTATCATGCAAGTACACATAGTACAGTCGTATGAAAAATGTGGGCACCCCTCTGAGGCTGCATAATAATTTACTCTGTCATCACAGAAAATGATCACAGTGGCATGCCATTCATTTTCTAATAAAAGCTGAGTACTGGGGTTATGTCCAGACAAAGATTTTTAGTGTAGCAATATTAAGTTGTATGAAATTAAATCAGATGTGAAAAATAGGCTATGCAAAAATGTGGGCACCCTTGTCATTCTGTTGATTTGAATACCTGTAACTACTTAGCACTGATTAATTGGAACACACAATTGGTTTGGTGAGCTCGATAAGCCTTGAACTTCATAGACAAGTGCATCCAATCATGAGAAAAGGTATTTAAGGTGGCCAATTGCAAGTTGTTGTTCTCTTTGACTCTCCTCTGAAGAGTGGCAACATGGGGGCCTCAAAACAACTCTCAAATGACCTGAAAACAAAGATTGTTCAACATTATGGTTTAGGGGAAGACTACAAAAAGCTATCGCAGAGATGTAAGCTGTCATAGTGAGGAAATGGAAGACCACAGGCACAGTTCTTGTTAAGGCCAGAAGTGGCAGGCCAAGTAAAATATCGGAGAGGCAAAGGCGAAGGATGGTGAGAACGGTCAAAAACAGCCCACAGACCACCTCCAAAGACCTACAACATGATCTTGCTGCAGATGGTGTCACTGTGCATCGTTCAACAATTCAGCGCACTTTGCACAAGGGGAAGCTGTACGGGAGAGTGATGCGGAAGAAGCCTTTTCTGCACACACGCCACAAACAGTCGCTTGAGGTATGCAAACGCACATTTGGACAAGCCAGCTTCATTTTGGAATACGGTGCTGTGGACTGATGAAACAAAGATTTAGTTATTTGGTCATAACAAGGGGCGTTATGCATCGCGGCAAAAGAACACAGCGTTCCAAGAAAAACACTTGCTACCCACAGTAAAATTTGGTGGGGGTTCCATCATGCTGTTATTAGAGGCTATAGGAAGTGTCTAGAGGCTGTTGTTTTAGCAAAAGGAGGCTCTACTAAATATTTATGTGATTTTTCTGTTGGGGTGCCCAAATGTATGCACCTGTATAATTTTCGTTTTGATGCATATTGCACATTTTCTGTTAATCCAATAAACCTCATTTCACTACTGAAATATTACTGTGTCCATCAGTTATTTGATAGATCAAAATGAAATTGCTGATCCAAACACCCAATTATTTATAAATGGAAATCATGGAAATTGTCAGGGGTGCCCAAACTTTTTCATACGACTATCTCATCATAACCAGACAAGAACATGCTCTATCATACATTTACTATTGTTGGCATACACGTTTTTGCTCATTTTCGTGTGTGTGTGGTGTGTGTTCAGGACGTGTGTAAGATTGTTGTGAACTACTGTCGTATCCTGAAGGATCGGGTCAGGGAGCTGTCTGAGAACTCAGACCACGGCATCGCTGTCAACATGGTGAGGGGGAGAACAGTCCTGCCTCTATCCCTTCCACTTTCATTTATTTTCCTTCTCTCTTTCTACTTGTGTCCATCTCAATCACCGTTTTTGTGTGTCTCTCTTCTTCTCTCAACTACATTTAAGTGAATTATGTTAAATGCCATCTCTCTGTGTCTCTCCCTCTTTCTCTCCCCCCCCAGCTGTGTGTAGTAGTGAATGACCTGGAACACTTGAGATCAGTGCTGACCCGCCTTCCCCAGCAACTCAACTGGGCAGGACTTCGAGAACGCACCCTTCAAGTGATAGGGGACCCTCAGTTCCACAATGTGCTCCCCTCACAGCTGCAGCATGCACATGGGGTCCTCAACAAAGAGATACGCTCTGCCTTAGAGACCGTTGGACGGAAGGTAGGGGTTTAGGAGAGAGGGGAGGGGTTCAATGGAGGAGAATCAAAAGAGACCTAGACCTGGGCTGCGTTCAGTACGTTTTTACGTTCTGGAACGTTCAATTAAACGGAAACGGTGCTGTATTGAATGACCAGTTGAAAAACGGGGAGGGCATTCGCCCATTAAGACCCAAAAGCTTGAGAAATTGCCCTATAGTTGAAGTATCTCTCTCTCGCTCTCTCCAGCTGAATTCAGACATTGCGATGTACGTCCGTAGCATGTCTACTCGATGCAGAATCCCCTCCAAGTCCACTGAAGAAGTAAGAAACTGTCATCAGCCATTTCCGATTCAGCAATACCGAATTTATAGACAAACATTTCCTTGACTTATGAAAAGCATATTACTGTAACTGACGAACTGTTCCATGTGTCACCTATCGTAGGCTGTGGTTCCCCTGATACAATATCTGGAGAGGGAGCTGCAGTACATGAATGAGAACCTAGTCCAAGAGAACTTCAACAGGTACACGTACACACACATGCCTGTAGTGCCGATCATACACTCACCTGTGGTTCAACTGGTACTGAACATTTATTACCCTCTTTGTTCCAGCATACCTGTATGAATATCTTAGAGCAGTAGTTGCCAAGCCTTTCAAATATTCTTGTCATCTCCACTCTTCCTTCCTTCCCTAGTCTGTTGACTCCGTTGTGGACTAACTCCATAAGGACCTTATACCAGGTAGCTACACAGCAGAAGCAGGAGGAGGGACTCATGGTGTTCTGTCAACGACTGCAATACACACTCCAGGTTAGTATAGTACCGAGTACACACTCCAGGTTAGGACAGTACTGAGTACACACTCCAGGTTAGGACGGTACTGAGTACACACTCCAGGTTAGGACGGTACTGAGTACACACTCCAGGTTAGGACGGTACTGAGTACACACTCCAGGTTAGTACAGTACTGAGTACACACTCCAGATTAATGCATTATTCTTAAATACACACTTCAGGACATTTCTGACTGTGTGTTGATGTGTATGTTGCAGTGTCTGGAGCAGTGTTTTCATGCTGAGGGGAATGGACTGCCACTGGATACCCTTCACACAGACGACTACAAGGTGAGTTCATGTTGGTTACATTGCACATTATATTGTTATAAACTTATGGTTCTATAAGGACATGTAAAAACATGAAATGGGTGACCTTGGGTTATGAATACTGTACAATAACTCTCTTTCCTCTCTCTACTCATTCTTTGAGATTCTGAAAGCTCATCTGACACACAACTCTCTCAACTGCCAGCAGCTCATAGAGAAATTCCTGGATAGAAAAGTATGGGAGCAGGTAAGAGCCTATTCTATTTGTGTTGTATAACAGTAAAAAGTATGTCTATACAGAATACATTTGAATCTGTGTTTGTGTGTGTGTAACAGAAGGTTTACAGTGGAGAAAAGTACGGCGCGGTCACACTCATAGCATCCTACAGGAGGTCTGACCATAGACTCAGAGTGGAAGTATTGAATGCAGCTAACCTCCTACCCATGGACTCCAACGGTAAGTGGTTTCCTCTTCTTGTCTCCTTCTAGACAGGTCTACTAGACAGGTCTTCTTACAGATCAGATCTCCTGTGTCTCTCCAGGTTCCAGTGATCCGTTTGTCCAGTTGTGTCTGGAGCCTCGTCATGTGTTTTCTGAGGTGGAGCCTCGCACCACACAGATCAAGAACTGTGACCTCAACCCCCTGTTCGACGAGGCCTTCGAGTTGTAAGCACTAGCTCCAACTGCTACCCTTCAGTCACTACATTGATGGCATAAGTCTCTCAGATCTTTGTTGAAAATGTGGATGCATTAAAACAACCACCTTTTTCCACTTCAACCTTGCCTCCTACTCATCCTTAGGAACTATACAAGTAATCATCTCTCTCACAACCCGCTCTCATTCCCCTCTTCACCTTCTCTATGTACCCCCACCTTCCCTGTCAGTATGGTGTCGGTGGAGCAGTGCCAGGCTGCAGGGGCATGTCTTGTGGTGACCGTATTGGACTATGACACCCTGAGAACAGACGACTTCGAGGGGGAGGCCTTCCTGGCTCTGAAGGCAGTGCCGGGGGTCGGAGGGGGGTCAGGGGATGGACAGGGGCACCAGCCAGATCCCTCCCCGGCCCAGATACGCCTGCCGCTCATACACCCCAAACCAAATGGTATGATTTGGAATTCAGTTCTGTGAAAATTAACACAAACGTGCATGATACTGAAGTGTGTGTTCTCTCCAGATGACAGTATCCTGAAGCTGTTGGAGTCACGGAGAGGAGAGCGAGAGGCTCAGGTGTTTGTGAAGAAACGCAGACAGAGAGAGAAACAGTCACAGGAGGGGAAACAACAATAACACACAGCTTCATCCAAAAATATACATTTATTTTATTTTTCTATACCAAAACACACAAAATGAAACAGTTGGTGGATGCAGTAGGACAAGGTGTGGACTTTGTGCCAGGTCTGTGTATAGTACACGTGATCATGTCTTTTCACTGGTTATCAACACACACCTGCTGTGTCCAAAGCCTGACACCTGGTGTACAGTGCATGTGGCAAGTATGACATACAAGAACTATGTATATTTGACATGAGTTTGACATACTGTGAAATATCAAAATGCTTACAAATGTAAATTATGCCCCAAAAACATTATACATTGATTTTTAGAGTTTAAAAAAGGCTGGCATTTGCGTTAACATGAAGCGCTTTGTTATTAAATGAAAAAATATGCATAATTTCAGACTACACAATTGAATAGTACATTTTTCTTGATTGTGTTAACATGCTCCCATCTTTCCAGTTAACAAAGAATAATAATATTACAGACTGCAAACCTGAGAGTCAGTCAAGTACAGAAACTATCTGTAAGAAACACAGACTGCTGCGTCCAAATAGTCTAACATGGCTTTCCTTCCTTCATCTGCAATTTCTTTGTAGGCTCCCACCATATTCCCTTCCTGTAGTTTCAGATCAGTGTGAAGGACACAAGGAGAGGAAGCCTTTTTATACTATTGAGATGCAGCCCTATTCTTCCTCTGACTATAAGTCTCATTAACAAAACAATATCACTGACTTTGCCTTCACTTTTCTAGAAAAAGCATACATTCTATGGAAAATAAAAATTATAATTTTGACAGTAAAAACTTGTACTCCTTCAAATGGTGGCCCCCTTAGGATGTAGCATCATGAGACAGCTGTCTGGATCATGCATGCCATTAACAACTGACTGAGTCAGTTTTGTGGTTAAAGACAGGTCTGTGGTAAGAGAGCTGATCCTGAATCATTTCTTATGGACAGGTAGTGCGTGTAAAAAAAAATCTGATCTTGAATCAGTGACTATATGGACCGGAGGCTGGTCTTTGGGATGATCTTTCAGTGAGGATACCATATCTAGGATCAGAGGTAAGATACAATGGAGTATACTACATAGCGTAAGAACAACTGGTCTGGATCTGGTCTAAAGTCAGTGTTCGGGTCAACTGGGCTGTTTGAGTGAGTATGGCTGGTGTGAGGCTGGTCTGAGATCAGTGTTGGGGGATCTGCTGGGCTATAGATAGTTGATGAGTTAGGTCAGGATAACTGATCTAGGGTCTGTTCTGGGCAAAGGGGGCACTCTGTAGAGCTGGTGCAGCTGTCACACAGTAGACCGTGTCCACAAGGCAGAGAGACCGATCCCTGCTCTCCACATGTCACACAACATTGACACTGCTTTCTATACACCACCTGGATAGGGGGGTGAGATGGAGAGGGGAGAAAGAGAGAGAAGTCTGCTGGTTAGTTGGGGAATGTTTCACATCAACAAGCATAGCTCTGTGTGTACAGTGAGGGAAAAAAGTATTTGATCCCCTGCTGATTTTGTATGTTTGCCCACTGACAAAGAAATGATCAGTCTATAATTTTAATGGTAGGTTTATTTGAACAGTGAGAGACATAATAACAACAACAAAATCCAGAAAAACGCATGTCAAAAATGTTAGAAGTTGATTTGCATTTTAATGAGGGAAATAAGTATTTGACCCCCTCTCAATCAGAAAGATTTCTGGCTCCCAGGTGTCTTTTATACAGGTAACGAGCTGAGATTAGGAGCACACTCTTAAAGGGAGTGCTCCTAATCTCACCTTGTTACCTGTTTAAAAGACACCTGTCCACAGAAGCAATCAATCAGATTCCAAACTCTCCACCATGGCCAAGACCAAAGAGCTCTCCAAGGATGTCAGCGACAAGATTGTAGACCTACACAAGGCTGGAATGGGCTACAAGACCATCGCCAAGCAGCTTGCTGAGAAGGTGACAACAGTTGGTGCGATTATTCGCAAATGGAAGAAACACAAAATAACTGTCAATCTCCCTCGGCCTGGGGCTCCATGCAAGTTTTCACCTCGTGGAGTTGCAATGATCATGAGAACGGTGAGGAATCAGCCCAGAACTACACGGGAGGATCTTGTCAATGATCTCAAGGCAGCTGGGACCATAGTCACCAAGAAAACAATTGGTAACACACTACACCGTGAAGGACTGAAATCCTGCAGTGCCCGCAAGGTCCCCCTGCTCAAGAAAGCACATATACAGGCCCGTCTGAAGTTTGCCAATGAACATCTGAATGATTCAGAGGAGAACTGGGTGAAAGTGTTGTGGTCAGATGAGACCAAAATGGAGCTCTTTGGCATCAACTCAACTCGCCGTGTTTGGAGGAGAAGGAATGCTGCCTATGACCCCAAGAACACCATCCCCACCGTCAAACATGGAGGTGGAAACATTATGCTTTGGGGGTGTTTTTCTGCTAAGGGGACAGGACAACTTCACCGCATCAAAGGGACGATGGACGGGTCCATGTACCGTCAAATCTTGGGTGAGAACCTCCTTCCCTCAGCCAGGGCATTGAAAATGGGTCGTGGATGGGTATTCCAGCATGACCCAAAACACACGGTCAAGGCAACAAAGGAGTGGCTCAAGAAGAAGCACATTAAGGTCCTGGAGTGGCCTAGCCAGTGTCCAGACCTTAATCCCATAGAAAATCTGTGGAGGGAGCTGAAGGTTCGAGTTGCCAAACGTCAGCCTCGAAACCTTAATGACTTGGAGAAGATCTGCAAAGAGGAGTGGGACAAAATCCCTCCTGAGATGTGTGCAAACCTGGTGGCCAACTACAAGAAACGTCTGACCTCTGTGATTGCCAACAAGGGTTTTGCCACCAAGTACTAAGTCATGTTTTGCAGAGGGGTCAAATACTTATTTCCCTCATTAAAATGCAAATCAATTTATAACATTTTTGACATGTGTTTTTCTGGAATTTTTGTTTGTTCTGTCTCTCACTGTTCAAATAAACCTATCATTAAAATTATAGATTGATCATTTCTTTGTCAGTGGGCAAACGTACAAAATCAGCAGGGGATCAAATACTTTTTCCCTCACTGTATGTGCGTTCACATGTGTACACTGCACATATCTGTGTGTCTCCTTTACCTGTTCCACGGTGTGTAGACATGTACAGAGCTGGGCCTGCAAACTGAGGACAGACTCTAGAGGCAGTCTGTGGAGCAGCTGTAGCTGGTGTAGGCTCAGGTGTGGGTTTTCTCCTGTCCTCATGCTCTCCAGCGCCTCCTGGAGGAGAGAGGTCTGTCTCTTCGCCGCCTCCTCAGCCTGTCTGGCCCGCTCTGCTTCAAGAGCTGACCGACCGGCCGAGCCACGAGACTCCTCTGCATCCGACTTCAACACCGCCCACGACTGGAGTGAGAGAGGGATGTAGAGAGAGGGAGAGGGTGATGAGAGAAAAAGGGGAGAGAGTAACAGAGGGAGAAAAGGGGAAGGAAGAGAGGGAAAATATTTTAGTCTGACCCTTTTGTTGGTTTACTGGTGTACACTAACACACACATACACCTAGCACACACACAAACCCACACCTACTCATCGTACCTGTGCTGTATGTCTCCAGGTGTGGTCCCAGTGTTTCAGTAGTCTGTTAGCATCGTCTAGTTCCTGTCGGACCCGGGCTGTCTCCATGCTCTGGCCCATGGTGGGTAACAGGGCCGGGGGCGTACCGGGGGAACCCTGGCCTGATGGGTGCTCCCAGATACTACTGCTCATACCATTCAGACCTGCAATACAGGAGACATGGAACACATGAGACATATTTATTAAGCTGAGGTGTCTTTGGAATGTATGGGGAAATGAAAGAATTAAACACATTTTTAAATCTCTAATTTTGGTCAGAAAAATACATGATCTAAAAAGATATCCACAAACCTAAAGAGCTATGTGATGGCCCCAAGAAGCTGCTTTCTGATTTGCTGGGCTGCGATAGATGGGAGGAGAAGAATGGCGATTGGTGGGCTCTGATTGGTGGAGAGGGCGAGGGGGAGCTGAAAGGGGCGGAGCTGCAGAGGGATCCTGGAATGTTGACAGGAGCAGAACTCTGGAGCTGATTTCCTCCTGCAACATCAATCAATAATTGAATCAATCATGACATTCCACTCAGGTGTGTGCGTGCATGCGTGTGTGTTTATGTGTGTGTGTCTAGGCTCCATACCCACCCAGCATGGCTCTGGGAAGAGCTGAGCTGCTGTCCAGGCTTCTCTGCAGGGCAGACATGCCAAAGTCATTCAGGTCCAGGTCATCCAGAGCTGACTCTATACAAAACATTATCAACCAAAACAAAACTTCAGTCTGTCAGATCTGTCCCACAGCAATCAAGTGATGCAGTGGCAATATTCTTCAGAGATATCCCATGTAATTGCCCCTCAGGGATAAATAACGTTTTTTTAATTGAATGGAATGTTAGGAAGTGAACTACAATAGTTAGCTAATTTTACAATGGCTAGCTCCTCTGACGAAGAGTAATAAGAGTTTAAAGAGTCTACTGTGCTTGTGTGACGGACTCACCCACTACAGAATCGACGGTGTCGCTGGTGGGGTAGAAGGGCAGTGCGTTGGCATTCATGCCCGAGAAGAGGCCTGGTGCTGGGGCTCCGTGGTGGAGGTGGTGGCCCTGGTGGAGGGGTCCAGGAGGGGCCGGGCTGGGAGGGGTGGCTGCTAGGCTGGAGGGAACACTGGATGACAGACTCAGTGGACTACCAACTGGGAGGAACACCAACAGGTCCTAGTGAGGTAGAGAGAGAAGGGTGGTGATGGTATCTACTATACAGACTGTGGTAAAGTTATAGTACAATAAGCAATGTAGCCTAATAGTTTCTGCATTCGACAATGTGATATTGCTGCCTTACAGAGACAACAAGACAATGAATGACAAGCTGGCTGAAGCAGCAACAGACACCCAAGCCAATAATGTGTAACTATAGTTGAAGCTGGTTGATTTTGACAACAATAAAAAGGCACCTGTTTGCTGTGATGAGACGCCATTTCTCTGTTGCGTTGCTCCATGGTAAAACTCTTCTGTTTGGCATGGTCTTCCCTCTCATACCCCGGTGCCCTACCGTACCCCCCCTCCCCAGCCCAGGGGGAGAGGGGTTCGCCTCCCCCACACACGTCCTCACACAACGACAGCACCCTCCCTAAAAGGCCCTGCTCTGCCACACACACACCACCTGACGGGGAGAACGGCCCTCCAGACAGAGACCCAGACCTTCCACCTCGGCCCCCAGGGCTGGAGCATCCTTCCTGGGCAGGGTGAGGGTCTTGGGGTCCTGGGGGGAGAGGTGGGGAGCTGGGGGTCTGAAACGAGGGTTCTTCACTGATAGGGGGCTCTAGGGGACAGGAGCAGAAAAAGAGTAGATCAGTTACTTACTTGCTAACTATCATTTTACAACATGATTAGGGTGTTGTGAGACACTTACTGTTGTCTAGGTGTGCAAAGGCACAGAAGGGGCCTCGGGGGCAGCTGCCACACTGCTGCATGTCGTTACACTTCGTGGACTTATAGATCTGGAGAAGAACACCAGACAAACACACAGTCATTTAATATAGAGTTCTAATTTGTGTTAAGCAAATGTAGCTAACTTGAACTTTGGCACAAATCTGCCAATGATCTAAACTGATGACGTAGTTATGATTTGAGATGAGGGGCATGTTAGGATGGACCGCACCGCGTACCTCAGGGTGAAACTGCTGCTCTGTGCGTGTGTGGCAGTACTGGCATCCCTCTGCCACCTCACACTTACTGGGGTCTCCCCACTCCTCACTGTGCTTCACCGCTGGGCATGGCAATGCTCTGGAGAGAGAGAGAGACCCCACACACTTTAGTATTGTTTTTTGGGGAAGAAAACAGATGGTTCAGGTCATATGACCTGTGTGTGTCAAATGGATGTGTGCATGTTTTGTACCTGTATTTGTGTTTGTGTGGACTACGGCGCCTGTCTTTGCTATTGTGGTAGTAGGGACAGGCGTAACCTTGGCGACACAGACGAGGAGGCTTTTTACACAGATCTGTCTTGTAGTGGGACAACACATAGGTGTTATCTACAGAGAGAGAAAGGGAGAGAAATGTATTAGTATTGGAATCATGGCCTTCATATGGAGTATATTTATAGATCAGTTAAAGGATGTGCATGTGTATAGTCGTACCCTGCCAACGTGGTTCCTCACTCAGGATCTTCTCAATGAGGGCAGTACTGGCCGCCAGCCCCGACTGGCCTTCCCCCCCTCCTCCTCCCTCTGCAGCCCCCGACCCCCCCTGAGACTCCATCACCTGCACCTCTCTGGAGAGGGGGAGAGGGACACACATGGCAACGAGACCAGTTAGAAAGTGGAACAATGAAACAGACAAATCTCTGGCTTTGGGTCATTATTCTAAACCTTAATTTGAAGATGAACAGAAGATGATGTGTCTCTACTGCAGTGTGTAATCCTGTACCTGATGTCGTAGACGGGACATCGTAGGTCATGTGATCCATGTGCAAAGGCACAGTGGGAGCCGTTCTTACTGCAGTGGCCCTTCCCGTCCGTCTCGTGGATACAGGAGCCTGTCTTATAGTACCTCAGATGGTACCTCCGCTCTGTGTCGCCTGCCGTACGATGCAGGTACGGACATCTGGAAATCACAAATGGGAAAACAACCTACACATCTTGCTGGGTCACGTGATATTGTCTCAGAGCCACAGTCTTCCACATTAGCATTCCCCTTGTGTGTGTTAATAGGCTGAAAGTGTGAAAGTGATCATGTGTCAGCACTTCTCCTGATCTGTCTGAGCCATGGCCCGGAGGAGTGAGGTGCTGTTTTCATCTGCAAATCACAGCAGTCAACAACCATCACCTCAGCTATTCAACTGAATGGTTACACCTCATTTATAAACAGTACCCTCAATCTGAAAAGAAATCTCAATCTCAGATTCCCAGGTGATTTATTATGCAATGTAGAGCATGTTCTATGTACCTTTAGGATAAAACTTACCAGACCGATTGTCGGTCTGCACAGTACGGGCCGTTTGTTTGACGTTCGTTCACTCGCTGTGTTATAGGGACCACCCGCCGTTGGCCACTGACGGTCATCATTTTCCCCCTTTTCTACATGTAGAATCGGTTTGCAAATTACAATTATTGTTCAGAGGTGCAAAGTACTCTCGGCCGGCAATCCTACCGGTCTGCCCGTGCCTTTAATGTGGAGAACTCAAGGATTGACCCAATAGGGCAAATTTGAGACCCCCAAAAACCATTGGTTTTAGTGAACCATAAAATAGTGTGAAGAAAACAAGTGTCTGTGTCTATTTGCTATCAGTGTACCAATACATCAAATCAAAAATCTTCCTTGGTACCCCCAGCACACGGACACACTTTCTTTCTCTCTCTCTCACACACACACACACACACACACACACTTACTCGTCCCCGTCAGAGCAGGTGCCTGTGCCCTCGTCGTATTTGGTGCAGTAGACATCTGGGCTGTAGTTGAAGGTTCCGTCCCGCCTGCGGATGGGCCTGCGGCGACGCTGGTTCAGGAAGTGCCAGTGGAAGCATGCAAAGGGCCGGTGCTGGGTACACTTGTGCTGCACAAACAGAGGACACTGCTCTGTCCTGAACTCCTTCAGATACCTGCATATGGGCGACAAAGCAGGACAGAGGAAATGGGTAGAGATATACGAGTAGTGCATTAGTATATGTCTTATATTTGACACGAAAAAAGAACAATAGCAAGCTGCAGGTATCAGTTATCACAACTTTGCACCTATGTTGCAGATGTAAACATGTCCCTCTCAGACTCTCTCTCTCTCTCTCTCTCTCTCAAAAAACACATTGACACACAGACAACTTATGAACCACTTATGGACCATTAGACCAATTAAAGTGTCTTACATTGTAATTTGATTGCATATTAGCATATCCTGACACAAAACGTCAACACTACATATGGCTAGCTAAAGATTGCCAGCTCCCTAAACAGTCCAGGGCTACTGTACAGATCCAAAACACGCTAACTCAGTCAACAGTAGGCCTCTCACTTATATTGCCTAACTAGAATTGGTACACACTAATCCAGACCAGAGATAGCTGGTAAAAAAGACTTCAATTAAAATCCGACAGGAGCAATTGAACTAATTATCCGAACGTCAGTGGTGTTTTAGTGTGTATATACACGTGAGGTTGTGTGTGGTCTACGTACGTGTAGTGTTGAGGTTTCTCAGGCTGTACGTGCAGGACGTTGGCGGGAGACGTCGTGCCACCTGCGGGCGAGGAGGATGAGGAGGAAGAAGGTCCACCGGAGGTCGTAGCCCCCGACGAGGACGGGGGCTTTGTGTGTGTTTTCGACATTTTTTACTATTTGAAGCTTTTGTACCAGCGTTCTGTATCCAGTGTGCGACGAAGTCCGCATTCTTTACCTTTGCGCGCTTGCGCCTGGTACGAGGAAGTGGAAGCGTCAGCTCGAAGGGCTTGCTAAGAACTGTGGGGCATGTAGTTCAACATTGTCTGTTCCCTTTGCTTTTAAACTGCAGTTTGTGAAAGAGCCAGAAATACCATTTTTTAATAAAACAATTATATTTATTAAATGGAGCATACATAACGTTGTACTTGACATTTGAGTCACACACATGAAATGTGTTCTGTTTTGTGCAAACCAAAGCACTTTCCTCAAACCCTGTAAAAATTATAAATAACAAAATTACACGGTTTCCCACGTGTGCGTGGTCATTCAAAAACTATTCGTTACAAAACATGCTGAACATTTAATTTAATTTATTTTCTAAACATAGAATTTGAGGAGAGGAAACCACAATGTTGTGATCCATATTCAGCAATCGAGGTTAAATTATATTGGGAACAAATGAGACTGTACAAATGTCGTTGGACGGTCGATAATTGTTTATTTATTTTGTTGCATTCATGTCGGCTCCACCAGACGCCCTCCAGGACACCGACAGCACCCGATGTCACAAGAAGGCCAAAAAAATCATCAAGGACATCAACCGAGCCACTGCCTGTTCACCCCGCTATCATCCAGAAGGAGAGGTCAGTACAGGTGCATCAAAGCTGGGACCGAGAGACTGAAAAACAGCTTCTATCTCAAGGCCACTAGACTGTTTAACAGACACCACTAGCACATTAGAGGCTGCTGCCTATAGACATAGACTAGAAATCACTGGCCACTTTAAGAAATGAAACACTAGCCACTTTAATAAAGTTTACATATCTTGCATTACTCATCTCATATGTGTATATACTGTATTCTATACTATTCTACGGTATCTTGGTCCATGCCGCTCTGACATCGCTCGTCTATATATGTACACTACCAGTCAAAAGACACACCTACTCATTCAAGGGTTTTTCTTTATTTTTTCTTTTGTTTACATTGTAGAATAATAGTGAAGACATCAAAACTATGAAATAACACATATGGAATCATGTAGTAACCAAAAAGTGTTAAACAAATCAAAATATATTTTATATTTGAGATTCTTCAAATAGCCACCCTTTGCCTTGATGACATCTTTGCACACTCTTAGCATTCTCTCAACCAACTTCATTAGGTAGTCACCTGGAATGCATTTCAATTAACAGGTGTGCTTTCTTAAAAGTTAATTTGTGGAATTTCTTTCCTTCTTAATGCATTTGAGCCAATCAGTTGTGTTGTGACAAGGTAGGGGTATACAGAAGATTGCCCTATTTGGTAAAAGTCCATATTATGGCAAGAACAGCTTAAATATGCAAAGAGAAACGACATTCCATCATTACTTTAAGAAATGAATGTCAGTCAATATGGAAAATGTCAAGAACTTTGAAGGTTTCTTCAAATGCAGTCGCAAAAACCATCAAGCGCTATGATGAAACTGGCTCTCATGAGGACCACCACAGGATTGGAAGACCCAGAGTTACCTTTGCTGCAGAGGATAAGTTCATTCGCGTTATCAGCCTCAGAAATTGCAGCCCAAATAAATGCTTCACAGAGTTCAAGTAACAGACACATCTCAACATCAACTGTTCAGAGGGGACTGTGTGAATCAGGCCTTCATGGCCGAATTGCTGCAAAGAAACCACTACTAAAGGACACCAATAATAAGAAGAGACCTGCTTGGGCTAAGAAACACGAGCAATGGATATTAGACCGGTGGAAATGTGTCCTTTGGTCTGTAGTCCAAATGTGAGATTTTTGGTTCCAACCGCCGTGTCTTTATGAGACGCGGTGTGGGTGAACGGATGATCTCCGCATGTGTAGTTCCCACCGTAAAGCATGGAGGAGGAGGTGTTATGGTGTGAGGGTGCTTTGCTGATGACATTGTCTGTTATTTATTTACACACTTAACCAGCATGGCTACCACAGCATTCTGCAGCGATACGCCATCCCATCTGGTTTGGGCTTAGTGGGACTATCATTTGTTTTTCAACAGGACAATGACCCAACACACCTCCAGGCTGTGTAAGGGCTATTTGACCAAGAAGGAGAGTGATGGAGTGCTGCATCAGATGACCTGGCCTCCACAATCCCCCGACCTTAACCCAATTGAAATGGTTTGAGATGAGTCGGACGGCAGAGTGAAGGAAAAGCAGCCAACAAGTGCTCAGCATATGTGGGAACTCCTTCAAGACCGTTTGAAAAGTATTCCAGGTGAAGCTGGTTGAGAGAATGCCAAGTGTGTGCAAAGCTGTCAAGGCAAAGGGTGGCTATTTGAAGAATCTCAAATATAAAATATATTTAGATTTCTTTAACACTTTTTTTGGTTACTACATGATTCCATATGTGTTATTTTATAGTGTTGATGTCTTCACTATTATTCTACAATGTAGAAAATTGTAAAAATAAAGAAAAACCATTGAATTAGTAGGTGTGTCCAAACTTTTGACTGGTCCTGTATATATTCTTAATTCATTCCTTACTTAGATTTGTGTGTATTGGGTATATGTTGTGAAATTGTTAGATATTACTTGTTAGATATTACTGCACTGTCGGAGCTAGAAGCACAAGCATTTTGCTACACCCACAATAACATCTGCTAAACACGTGTATGTGACAAATAACATTTGATTTGATTTCTGCTCAGACAGCCATGGACATATCAACACTTGTTGATACTGTGTATTCCAACTGATTTTCAGGTTAAGTCTTATAATTGAGCAAAAGTAAGCTAATTGATCATAAAAACCCTTACGATAAAAGATAGCAGTCAGAGTGCAGTATAACTGCAGTATGTTGCAAATACTGCGTCAAAATACGTTTTTTTACTGCAGTAATTTTGCAGTGTAACTGCAGTTAGAGTGCAGTATTCTGCAATTACTGCTTCCAAGATACCACTGTCGACTGCAGTTACTGCACTTTCACTGTTTCAAAACTGCAATATTTTTTTGTAAGGGAAATATGTACAGTTCTCAGGCATTAGCTTCGCCCAGGACTGCCTCAAGTGAACTACAATCCCAACACTGTGTTTTAGCATTTAGAAACATCAATAATCATCACTTGTGATATGGCTTTTGAAATGTATGGCCCTTATCCAGGGCCAGCTCTAGCCTTTTGGTTGGGCCCCCCCACCTTGCAGCAAAATATTTTAGGGGCCCCCTCTTGAAGGCGGAGAGAAAAATTTAAAGAAATGTTAAGGTCCATTTCCTGAAATTCTACATATTTTGCAATGGGGCGTAGAGAAAAGTTGCTTTAAAACCGCAACATTTTCTCTACGCCCCATGGCAAAATGTGTAGAATTGCAGAAAACTTGCTTTAAAACTGCAAATTAAATTACTTTTTTTGCAATTCTACACATTTTGCCATTGGGCGATTTAAATTTTTTGCAATTATATAATAAATTTCTTGCAATTCTACTTATGTTGCCACGGGGCAGAGATTTTTAAAAAATGTATCTGTTTTACAGCTAATTTCCTACAATTCTATCCATTTTGCCATTGGGTGGGGACACATTTTTGCAGTTTTAAAGCTAATTCCCTGCAATTCTACACATAAGCGACTGCTTATGCCTGGAGCCAAACATGCCCTTATCTTTCATCAGTGAGAAAGAATCCTTCAAATAAAAAAGATACACTTACTGTAGCAGTTTTGAACAAATCCATACAGCTATGGTATGGGTGCCTCCATCCGACGAAACTACACTTCCGCTACACTTCCCGAGTAACGCTTACACACAGGTGTTCGGAGCATGCTAAATAGTTAATTAGCACAGGTGTCTTCCTAATAATAATAATAATAATAATAATAATATGCCATTTAGCAGACGCTTTTATCCAAAGCGACTTACAGTCATGCGTGCATACATTATTTTATTTTTTTGGTGTATGGGTGGTCCCGGGGATCGAACCCACTACCTTAGCGTTACAAGCGCCGTGCTCTACCAGCTGAGCTACAGAGGACCTCCTCTTGTCTTCCGTCTGTTCTCCGTAAACAAGCGCTGTAACATGGAGATATGGCCGTGTGGGAACCCTAAAGAGGTCAGCATGCTTCAGTTCAGCTGGCGCCTAGCCGAATTCAGCTAGCTGAACCGAACAAATGTGCTCGCATACTCTCTTAAATGCCATGATGATCTGGATGAAACTGCCAAATCGAGGGAAAGGTAAGAACCTCTGGATTAACTATCTAATGTTAACTAAATGTAGTAATGAATAATTGACAATTCTGTGAACTGTCTTGTGCAAGTTTTAAATTGACACAACCTGTTAACAAAGGTGTCCGCTAGAGATGACGTGCAGGAGCTTGCAGGGATTTGTAGTTTAGCGTGATGTCTACTTTGATGCTAATTAGCATTTTTTCAATCTTAGAATAAATAGAGCTGAATATATTGATAAAAGTCACCTTGTCCGAGAGAGAATTACATAATTATCAAAACGTCACGCCATGGTAAGCCTACACAAGACACAGCCGTTTCTAAAATCCCCTATGGGAAAAATGAATGGTGGAAAAACGATTGGAACCATTTCCCTGTTTGACCACTAGGTTTTATGGGTATTATGAAACCTCCACTGTTGGGCTCTATTGAAGAATCCCTACTGTTGACCAATGTCCAGGTTCCAAACTTTGGCTTGCCTCCAGATAAATGTGGTTTGCCCGAACAGCCAAAAAACCCCACCGAAGTCCAAAACAAACAAAAACGTCACAAAATGTTGTCATAATATATGCTTGAACTCTACCGAACTTTTTCGGCTGGGAAGCATGTGGAAGCCTTAACCCTATCAAGGTGTGTATCAATTTAACCAATCGTTTTTTTATTATTATTATTATTTCTCGCTGATATGAAAGATAAGGTCCTTATGCTTCCAAAACCATACCGCAAGCGATGCATGTTAATGTTCAGACCGAACGTCAGGGATCTTAACAAAACTCCCCCCTACAGAAGAAACCTTTGTCCAATGACTCGTATGTGTAATGTAATGGAACTGAGAGACATGATCAAGAGCTATGGTGATGCTAGTGGGCTATAGTGATGTCCTTCAAGTTGCACAGAATTGTTAGAACATGTTCAGACATGTTTCAGAATCCCATTTTGTTACAACACTAATGTTTATAATTTATGTTAACCATTGAAATGGCAATATTTTCAACCTAAGTATTTTCCTATAATGTCTCGGCTGCTGATTGGCTACAGAGGACAGACAGCAACCAATGGGGTGTTGACCGTTTTGATGGAGTTTAAACCAATGGTCTCACGAATTTCTAGTTCTCAACCAACCGGATTTATAAATGGGTTAGTTGACGTCATGGGAAAGTATAACATTTGATTTACTTCCCTGGTTGTCGTTATTCGTGTTGTGTGTCTTAAGGAAGAGGATTAAGGACATTTAGTTTTGGAATAATCCAGCAGTTACCAATCGGTAAGTAACATCAGCGGGTTTGATTGTGTTCTTACCATTCACAAATATTCGATGTTGTCGGTTGACCTGCCAGAGGAGTTTGTTTAACTCCTAATTATGTAATATAATTCTAAATGGAGATCTGAGATGGCTGGAGGCTAACGTTAGCTAGCGAAATACATCTAACGATAACAGAATTGGCTGGCTACACTACTGTAGGTAAATAACATTAGTTGGCGGTACCGCATTTTCTCCATTCTAGCTAGTTGTCACCTATGTGACTCAATGCAACGATTCAACCAGGAGCGTGAGGTGTTTAATGAACGTTAACGTTGCTATATGGCATGTTGCTAGCTAACGTTAGCCATAGTGGTCGGTCAGTGTTAGCTTTCAGTTTAACGTTCTCTTTTCTACAGTTTTGCTGGCGTCATCCCCGCAAACTAGTTATGTTGATATCAAAACGTACTCGTATTTATTACACTTAGTTATAGCGTTTGCACGGTCAAACGAACCAAGGCCACGCACTGCAGTGCAAAAACGAAATGTTGGAAGGCAACAAACTGAGTGAAGGCGGGGAGGTTTGTTCATAATTAAGCGCGCTGCTGGAACGGACGAGACTCCTCTCCCAGCGGTACCTAGGGGTGGGGGAGGGGATTATTCAAATTCACGATTGTTAATGTTGCTCAACTGTTTCAAGCTTTACAACAATCGTCACTACCTAGCAACGGTGATGGGACCAACTTGCGGTTGGTTTGATGCAACTGAGCGTGCAGCATTTGTAGTCGCCTTTTCATATCGCCCAAGATCGTAGACTTTGTCTCGTTTTGAAAAGCCACTTCAAATCCTTATTGCCCTTACATTGCCGTCCTCGGTAGCTCAATTGTGGTAGTGGGTTCGATCCCCGGGACCACCCATACGTAAAAATGTACGCACACATGACTGTAGGGTCGCTTTGGATAAAAGCGTCTGCTAAATGGCTTATTATTTATATTTTCTAGTGAGATGGCTCGTACCAAGCAGACCGCCCGTAAGTCCACCGGAGGAAAGGCGCCAAGGAAGCAGCTCGCCACAAAGGCAGCCAGGAAAAGCGCGCCATCCACCGGAGGAGTGAAGAAACCCCATCGTTACAGGTACTGAGAGCAGTTCAACCGGTTTTCCAACATTATTTTGTTGTCTAGATCAGAAGTGGGTCGCTAACAGTTCTAGTTTCACACATTTAGAATTCATATCTAATCTAAATAACATCTAAGTCAAACGTTGTACAATTTTATTCCCCAGGCCAGGAACTGTGGCCCTGCGTGAGATCCGTCGTTACCAGAAGTCTACTGAGCTGCTGATCCGCAAGCTGCCCTTCCAGCGCCTGGTGAGGGAAATCGCCCAGGACTTCAAGACTGACCTGCGTTTCCAGAGTGCTGCCATTGGAGCTCTTCAGGTAAGATCCACTCTGACTGCGGCTACCACACTAATAGTCTGAAGGCTAATGGACAGGGCAAACTGGAACAAACTTTATTTTTTTATTCCCCAATTTGGTGATGTTTTTTCTTCTCCCTTCTCTCCAACAGGAGGCCAGCGAAGCATACCTGGTGGGTCTGTTTGAGGACACCAACCTGTGTGCCATCCACGCCAAGCGTGTCACCATCATGCCCAAAGACATTCAGCTGGCCCGCAGGATAAGGGGAGAGAGGGCTTAAATGGCACTCGCTCCAGACATAATCCTATTTATCATCCTTAACCATTTCTTGAGTATTTTTGTTTTGTTTTTTTGTAATGTGTTTTGAGATCAGTCATTCCACAAACCCCAATTCAGATCTGGCCAGTGTGCAGACAGAGAAATGTAGGAATATCTGCTTCAATTGCAAATGAGGCTTGTTTTTTTTTTTTACACATTGAGTAGAGGATAGTGTATTACTTGACTGTTCAGTCAGATCTCCTCTTCACATGTTAACTGGCTCATTTTGGGTCCTGGTGGATAGTATAGGCTCCAGATGAGGTTGGAGCTCTTGCTTGTGGTGTCTGAATTCTTCTCTCAGCTTCCAGGGGATGGGGTGTTCCGGGTCTTTCATCAATTTCCACCCTCTCTGTCAGCATGTCTTGCACAACAGCTCACTACTACTCTATAGTGATGTCAGGGGGGATTTTCCTCTTGAAACTGTCTGACGGCCAGGAGCATGACAGACCCCCTGTATATTCTGGACTGCTTTTTACATGTTCTTTTTCCAAAATACAAAACCATGGCAGCTACATTTAATACTATTTATGAAAGTGTTGTCATATTGTAGTCTTTCTATTAAATGTCTTTGAGTAAATGCTCATGTGTTTGTGGTTCTTATTCTGACTGGCATGTTATGAGGATAATGTCTTTATCTACTAGGGGCTTTTACAGTTGGTATTCTCATTTAGTGTTCACACTTGTATTTTCGAAGCACATGTTTATTCAATTACCACAATACCTGGAAGACAAAATTGCTCTACAATGTGTGTATATATAATGTCAAGTCACAAACTTCCTCAACATTGAGTATACTGCGTCACAACATTATTTTGAAGTTTGTCACATCCAGTTGTAAAGGGATTTCTTGTTATACGAACCACTCTGTGTGCTTGAAACCAGTAGCTGTGGAATAAAAAAAAAAATCAGATTTTAATTGTGACTGGAATTTTTTAAAATGTTTTCTGTCTTTACAACATCCATGCAACAGGGAATCATCATACTAGAGATATTAAATTGTCTTCAATTATACTCACCGATGCGGTTGACGATCTCCTCACATTCTTTGACCGTGCTGGCTCTAAGCACCACACAGCAGAATCCTGTTGACTGAGTAGTTTCTGGGGAGTCTCTGAAAATGGAGCCAAATACATGTTCTGACATCTGCTCTCAGCCAGCTGTGGCGGCTCAGGACACTTCATCACCGCTGCTAATGTTTTTCTCCAGAGGAGAGATTTGGGAATTCAATAGGATGAGGTTGCTAAATGCTGATCTAAATACTGTTTTCTATTTTCCCCTCCTGAATGTAAATATTAGGATGGGGGGTAGGGTAAACTGATCCTAAATCTGTGGTTAAGGGCATATTATAGCTGGGGAGGTGTGAGCGACAGGAATACAGGATGCTGCTAATATTCCCATCCAGTGGTTTGGTATTCAATGAGGAATGACTATCATTTGAGTGTGCTTTTGCACAGATTATGTAGAAAGGCACGTTGTCTTAAGGTTGTAATGTTTGTATTTATTGGAATGTATCTGCAATGGTGAGAAGGCCTGGGACTATTCTCTGGTATATAATGGCTGATATGTTGATTTTTATTAATACTCACGCTACGCAGAAGGCAAAGACGGTATAGTCTGGCTGACCAAACCGCCCTACACATGAGATCTCTGGATAATGATGCTGGAACAACTCCTAAACACACACACAAAGGGGAGAATTTCAACCAACGACCCTGTATAATAATTTCAACCCACTGGACAAAACCTGTTTTGCCAACGTGTGATATGTTCAAGGTACTCACTGTCATATTGGATTTCTCAGTGCAGATCAAGTGGGTTTCCTTAAGGTCTAAATGTACTTGCTGTGGAGAAAGTGAGAGGATATGTCAGTAGTTTGGTTACGGATTACAACAAACTAGTCAGGTCAGCAGGTCTCTATTTGTCAGTACCTTGCTGGGCTGGTTTTGCTGTAAGACCAGGGGGATTCCATGTTGAAGCACCTCCTTGCCTCCATTCTTGTCAAGAAAAGACATAAAACATAATTAACGCAATGACACACAATCTAACACACTCACAATAACCACAAGTACACAACACACCACGATTGATGTGCAAAAAAATTAAAATCTTCACAAACAGTGAAACACTAAGAATACACACCAACATGTAATTATAATGTTCAAATAACATATCTACCATTCCAATGTTTGTCTTTCCCAAGAACTGCACAATGTACACAATTCTGCGGGGGGAGAGGGGTGCCTCAGATTAGGTAAACATGCCTGTGTACTATTTTAACATAAGAGAATAGATACAGATTTCAGCGTGAAACCACAAATAGCCCTACCCCCTGAACACTAGATCTGAAAGGATGGGATTGGTATAAGCAATTTGGTAGTACCCAATGATTTATATATACACTAGATGACAAACAGCCACTGCTGACGACACCACTCCTCCATCTTAGAATTCCCCCACGTTGTAAACAATATTTTGGAAGCTATAGAAATGCATTTATTCATGTCTACATTTGTTTTTGATACATTTATTATATTACAGACACATGAATGCACATTTTATTAATTATATTATGTGAGATAAAAATAAAAACATTAAAAAATAAAATAAAAACGTTTTCCTTAAAGTAAAATTTGTAGAAAGTACTAATGTTACTGTCCCCACTAAAAATACTTAATAGATGTAATTTTGTCCTTGAAACATTTAATTGAAATTCTGTGGAATTCCATTCATTCCTGCTTCTTCTGGGGAGTGCCAATATGGCCGACCGGTGGCTTCAAAGCCTCTCATTGTCCAATATATAGCATCTACAATCTAGGGTTTATATACATCATTGGTAGTACCACCACCTTGCTTTCTGATTAGCGGTGTGCAAACCAATAATAGGTGCATTACCGCAACAACAACCCCTCAGACTTGCCTTCCCTCTTTGAGGCACTGAGAGGGTGTGGGCCTCTGGCCCTGATTGGTGGGTTGTTGAGAGGAAGGGGAGGGGCCTAGCTGCAGGGAGGGGTTCTCTTCTCTAAGAGCTCTTAGGAGTTTGATGATGGGGCGATACACGCCCCCTTCCTGCACACACCACCGTAACATACGCAGGGACAGGGGACGCCCCTTAAGCCTGGAGATGACCACACCTGCCTGAGAACACACACACACAAAAGCACAATGTCCTAATTAAATGTTCAAAGAGAAAAACGCCCTGTACAACATATTATACAAATATATGGTTTATCTAAGGTGTGGCTGTATATGTGGGAAGTGACACATACAGTCAGATCCTAAATGATTGGCACCCTTGATAAAGATGAGCAAAAAATACTGTATAAAATAAATAATACAAATACTGAGCTATATTGCGTGCTCAAAAAAATTGGGAAATTATATTATTCATTGCCATTGACATTAACAAGAGCCTAGGGCCATAGCTACATATGAGGACACGGAGGGCCAGACCATTGTAATTTGTTCTAATAAAAAAAAAATGTTTTTTTGGAGCGTTCATTTTTACATTTACATTTTTTTTCATTTAGCAGACGCTCTTATCCAGAGCGACTTACAGTTAGTGCATACATATTTTTTTTCATACTGGCCCCCCGTGGGAAACAAACCCACAACCCTGGCATTGCAAGCGCCATGCTCTACCAACTGAGCTACACGGGACCCGTTCCACAGGGATGCTGGCCCATGTTGACTCCAATGTGTTCCACAGTTGAGTCAAGATGGCTGGTATTGGAGCTCTACTCCGAACAGCTCGTTACATCTCATCCCACAGATGTGCAATTGGATTGAGATCTGGTGGGCAGGCCACTGCACTAAGCTGAATCAAAGCTCATCACTAAGCTAAGGATCCTGGGGACTAAACACCTCCCTCTGCAACTGGATCCTGGACTTCCTGACGGGCCGCCCCCAGGTGGTAAGGGTAGGTAACAACACATCTGCCACACTGATCCTCAACACGGGGGCCCCTCAGTGGTGCGTGCTCAGTCCCCTCCTGTACTGCCTGTTCACCCATGACTGCATGGCCAGGCACGACTCCAACACCATCATTAAGTTTGCTGACGACACAACAGTGGTAGGCCTGATCACCGACAACGATGAGACAGCCTATAGGGAGGAGGTCAGAGACCTGGCCGTGTGGTGCCAGGATAACAACCTCTCCCTCAACGTGACAAAGACAAAGGAGATGATTGTGGACTACAGGAAGAGGACTGAGCACGCCCCCATTCTCATCGACGGGGCTGTAGTGGAACAGGTTGAGAGCTTCAAGTTCCTTGGTGTCTACATCACCAACGAACTATCATGGTCCAAACACACCAAGACAGTCGTGAAGAGGGCACGACAAAGCCTATTCCCCCTCAGGAGACTGAAAAGATTTGGCATGGGTCCTCAGATCCTCAAAAAGTTATACAGCTGCACCATCGAGAGCATCCTGACTGGTTGCATCACCGCCTGGTATGGCAACTGCTCGGCCTCCGACCGCAAGGCACTACAGAGGGTAGTGCGTACGGCCCAGTACATCACTGGGGCCAAGCTTCCTGCCATCCAGGACCTCTATACCAGGCGGTGTCAGAGGAAGGCCCTCAAAATTGTCAAAGACTCCAGCCACCCTAGTCATAGAATGTTCTCTCTGCTACCGCACGCAAGCAGTACCGGAGCGCCAAGTCTAGGTCCAAAAGGCTTCTCAACAGCTTCTACCCCCAAACCATAAGACTCCTGAACAGCTAATCAAGGCTACCCGGACTATTTGCACTGCACCCCCCACCCCCACCACATCTTTTTACGCTGCTGCTACTCTGTTAATTATTTATGCATAGTCACTTTAACTCTACCCACATGCAGGGGCGGTGTGTTCATTAGGGCGATATGGGCGACGCACTGCCAAACGGGAAAAGGAAGGGATTTTTTTTCTAATCAATTATATCACGGCAACAGTAGTTATCAGTGTTCTAATCTAGACGTCTGATC